CGGCGCCCTTGGCGCACGAACATCTTAAAGCAGAACCTGCGCGGCCTCCCACCCTAGAGCTTTTCCTGAGCTCCCCTCCTCCGTCGTCATCTCCATCCTGGTGCCGCCGATGCTCTGACAGCTCCCTTCCTCCTCCTCCTCCTCCTCCTCCTCCCTCATCCTCCTCCTCATCATCATCATCCTCATCATCCTCATCATCCTCATCATCCTCATCATCCTCATCATCATCATCATCATCATTGTCATCATCACCATCATCATCATCATCATCATCATCATCATCATCACAATCGTCATTATCATGAAAATCATCATCAGCAGCAGCATCCTCCTCCTCCTCCTCATCATGACTCTTCGGGTGCGCCGAAGAGGGAAGCCACGTCAGCAAGAAGGGGGGTCGCGCATGTTCGGCCCGAGGCACATGCGCGAACGAGTGGTGGTGGGTGGCCAGTAGCACATGTCAAAAGAAGTAGACGACGACAGAAGGGCAAGAACATCCAGGAGACTTGCCTGGGGGGGGGCATGACACCCACACACACACACACACACACCCCTGCAGTCGGCACACATCATGACAAACATGGCCAGCATTGCATCTTGGGGCACCTTCTTCGGCGATCTGTGAAGGTCTCAAAGGTGTCCCCAGAGCTGCTGTCCCTGGGGCCACAGGGCGATAAGTGTTTTCGTGGGGCACACGCTGGCAGGCCGACTTCTTATCTGATGCGCCTGCTGCAATCCTCACCCTCCTCCTGAACGCTGCCGAATCTCGCCCAAGCTTTGCCAGAGTTGGCCGGGACGACCAGTGCAGATCGCGCCGTCTTTTTGTTGTTTCTCTCTCTCTCTCTTTCTCTCTCTTTCCCCAAATGTTATACATACATATATATATGTATATCTCTTTCTGTCTCTCTCTTTCTCTTGTTTCTCTCTCACGAGGACGACGACGACGACGACGAGGAAGATATCACCCTGGGCCAAAATGTCTACGGAGGGGGAAGTCTCGACGACGACGAAGACGACGACGTCGAAGACGGCGACGACGACGACGACGACGACGACGGCGGCAAAACTATAAATTCCTGGAGGTCCGCGCAGATTGACTACCGACCAGACCACCCCAACCCAACCCGAAAACCCGAAGTTCGGGTTGGGGGGGGGGTACGGGTTCCATATGTATTTTTCCAATGTTCCCCGACCCCCCCCCACTGGAAATGGAGGGCAAATCGGGGCCTTCGGGCTGGGCTGGGGTGGGTTGGTGGGTGGTGACAGATGGCTTGGATCTGCGCGGGCCCCCCTTCCCGGCGAGCGGGGCGCGCCAGGGGGCGGCGCCGCGGGGCGCCGCCGGGGCGGCCCAGCGCCGAGCCGCGAAGCGCGCACGGATCTCCGAACACGTCTGATTATGTTTGTGGACACTCCAACAACCCGATCATTACATTACATATGTTCTGAAAATGTTTAGAACATGCTCCAAACATGTTTCAAACATGTTGCTTAACATACTCAGAACATATTCCCTACTCTGCCTAGAAGGGTTCTTACCCTGTTTGCTTAAAGGGCCGGGCAATGGGACTCGCCCCGGGCGGTTCCCCCGGCATCCGCCCCGCGGTTCCCCCAGTTACGTCCCCTTAGCTTAGCGTTGCTTATCTCATCTTAGCTTAGCTTATTCCAGCTTAGCTTAGCTTAGCTTCATATTAGCTCAGGTTTATCTTAGCTTAGCTTACCTTCATCTTAGCTTCGCTGAGCTTTAGCATAGCAGAGCACAGCAGAGCATTGCATAACGTAGCATAGCGTAGCATAGCGCAGCACAGCATATCGTAGCATAGCCCAGCATAGCATAGCATAGCAAAGCATAGCGCAGCACAGCACAGCACAGCACAGCAAAACATAGCATAGCGTAGCGCAACATAGCATGGCATGGCATGGCATGGCATAGCAACTAATGCTGCTTTCCTAGGGGCTCCAACTTCTACGTAGGGTCGCACTGGGGTAGTTTGAAACATCTTCTAGACATCTGGAACGTATTTGGCAGCACGCTTCTTCTCCATTAGTCGACTACCACAAGTTTATGTCGTTCTTTCTTCTTCGCCTGGCGGGCGGTTTCGCCCCCGCTGGCTGGGACGACCACTGCAGATCGCGACGCGATGCTTCCAAAACGATGCCGAGGCTGGGACAGAATCGGGCCAGGATGAGCCAAGGATCCCTGACATCCGGCGGCTCTGGAGGATGTATCCATCACCGCGGCCGTTCCAAAGCATTCTCCGCCTCTCCGACTCTCCGCTCTCCGGAACGCTCAAACTGGTGCTACAACCCTCCGCAAAATCACAAACGCGCGATTTCTTCCGCGACATGGCGGCGCGCCTGGACACCCCTTTCCAACGCTCGCGCCGAACCTGGCGACATGGTTATGCTTCACTTCCGACCCCGCGGGCCGCGCTGCGCGCATCGCTGAACGTTGGCATTGGGGGGGCGAGGGAGGTTGGACAACCATGCGCGATTGGTTCCGCGGAGGGTTCACACCCTCTGGTCAACATGTGCAACGTTTGCACGTCGTGCTGGAGAGTCGTTCGGGGGACGCCCCTGGATGAAATGCTTCTCATACCGGGCCCGCCTCTCACGGTCCTGGGAGCCGCGAGGGTGACGAAGACAACCAAATAGAGGATCGCAAAACTGCAGACTGCTTTTCGAGAGCAAGTGTCGCCCCGCCAGATGCTCTCTCCTCCCGAGGAGGAGCAGGAGGAGGAGGAGGAGGAACAGGAGGAGGAGGAGGAGGGGGAGGAGGAGGAGGAGGAGGAGGAGGAGGAGGAGGAGGACCAAGACCAAGGAACGCAGGGTACCAATCATAGTCAGATAGACGGGGGCACAACATTGGGGTTGCCTTAGGCCGAAAATGGTACCTATGTGGGGCAGAGCTCCCAAGCAAATCTAAAGACACTCTGGGGGGGCCCCTGCTGGGAGGAGTCACCCCCGCTGGCCCCGAAGGCGGGCCCCTATCGCGCGGATGTCCACGCAGGGGCTGCCTGCGGGCACCAGCCATTCACTACACTCGCTGTCTCGAATTCTTGACCCCCTGGAGGGGAAGGAGGAGGAGGAGGAGGAGGAGGAGGAGGAGGGGGAGGAGGAGGACGAGAGGGGGGGGAGGAGGAGTGAGGAGGAGGAGGAGGAGGAGGAGGAGGGGAGGAAGGAGGAGGAGGAGGAGGAGGAGGAGGAGGAGGAGGAGGAGGAGGAGGAGGAGGAGGAGGAAGAGGAGGAGGAAGGAGGGAGGAGGAGGAGGGGGAGGAGGAGGAGGAAGGAGGAGGAGGAGAGGGGGGGGGGGGTGGGATGCGGGGGGGGGGGTAGTCTCCTCCCGCCGCCCCGCTCTCGGGCGATCGCAAACATGCATCACGGGGGCTTGGATTGGCGACGGCTCCCGCTTTTCCGTGGGAAAGCTCGGATCTCCGCCGCCGAACGAAGCGGCACCGGCTGCATTTTGGGGAGGAGGAGGAGGAGGAAGAGGAGGAGGAGGAGGAGGAGGAGGAGGAGGAGGAGGAGGAGGAGGAGGAGGAGGAGGAGGGACGAGGAGGATAACGAGGAGCTGGAGGGTCCTCGGAGGGCCCCTCTCCCGATCCATGGATTCGGCGACCGCGCGCCAAGTCCATGGATCGCTGATCCACGTCTGCGCGCGCGCCCAAACGCTCGGCCGATCCTGGTGCTCGTCTCCTCCGTGCCCGAGATGATACCCGTCCCCAGCTTCAAAGTCGAGCTGCCCAGGGGGAAGCCCACGGACACGACACCTGCGCGGCAGGGGGGGCGAAGTTGGGCGCTCGTTCTGGAACCCTCCTGGCCCCAAATATCCCGAGGGGCTTGTCGACTCTTCGCCAGTCGACCTGCGGGGATCGAGCCAGATAAACCCAGGCAAATGCAGATGCGTCGAGATACATCCAGGTAAGTCCATGCAAATCGAGATGCATCCGGATAAGTCCAGATATATCCAGATCTCTCCCAGGAAAGTTGGGGCAGTTCGCGGCCGCTCCAGCGCGAGCCGAAGGACGGCAGCAGGTTTCAAGCCTTGACGAGAATAGGCGATGAGTGGGCGACTGGGGGTCGATGCCTCCCCCCCCCCCCCTGAGCCTGTCACCCCCACCGTGACATTGCCCCCTGGGATGGAGGGGCGTCCTCCTCGACAAGGGGTGCGCTCGAGCAGCCCCCCTGGGGGCGTGCCTCCCCGAGGTGCCGATCCTTTCTGAGCGGCCGGGTGTTTCTTGGGGGGAAGCTCGGGGACTGTCGGGTCGGGCGAAAGGGGGGGATCGCGAAGGGCGGGGTTTGAGAATCAGCTCACGTAGCTGATTTTCCCGGCGCCTCCCGGCGCCGGAGGCGGCTATGTATCGAGGCATGGGCCCCTCGGCGAAGCCGAAACCAGCCGCATGCAGCACATTTCGTAACCCTCCCTTTCCCAATCCCCCCCTTTCGCCCGCCCCGAGATTGGGAGGAAGAAGTCTCAGATGCTTCCTCTGAGGACCATCACTGGAGCCACTCGCTCCACTCGGGCGTCGATGCTGCGTGGAACGTCGGTCGACCGGAGTCGAACAAGGATCGAACAGATCGGACAGGTGGGCCCCAGATCGGTCTCAAGCAACTGACATCTGACCGTCGGGGTCCCTGGCCCCGAGGGTCCCAAGCCTTTCCCTCCATGTGGGAGGCCCCGAGGCCCCCTGGGCCTCGTCGGGGGTGCTCTGGGAGGGCCGGACAGGCGTCCCCGGGAATCCTAAGGGGGGCACCTCTGGGCCAAAGACCACCCAAACAGGGCTCAACCTAAACGGTGTTTTTCGTTTTCCCTTTGTTTTTTCGTTTTCCCTCGCTTTGTCTTCCATCCGCCTCTTACCGCAACACGAAGTCGAAGCGGACACGGCCCACGAAAGCGCCCCCCAAAAAACCGCTTCGGGCCAGCCCTGCCACCAGAACTCCGACACCCAACCGCGGGACAACCCCGCGGGCACCCGCGAGCCGCACGGCAGAGCCTCTGGCTCGACCTGGCCCTGCCTCGGCCGACACGTCAGCGCCCACGTCCGGCTCCGCCTCGGCCCGACCGGCATGATGCGGAAGCGTAGTTGGCTCCCTAACTTGGGTCACGTCGCTGTCAGTCCCCCGTCCCCAAACCCCACTCCATCAGGAACGACGCATCCGAATCAGCAAGACGGCCAACGCAGAGGCGACGGACCTCATCATTGAGCTGACAGTGCGGCCGATGCAAGAGAGGAGGGCACCGCTCCGAGTCGGGAGTATTGCCGCTGCTGAGGCAAGAACACAACCTCGTCTCGATCAGATCCCTGGTCATGAATGGGAGACCACACTCATCAAGGGCTCCCAACTTCGTGCTTCGCGCTGCGCGAAGCGCGAATAACTTCGAGTTTTCGCCCCGCCCCCCAGGGGCGAAGAGGAGCATGAGGAGGAATCGGAGCCGAACCGCGAAGCGCGAACAACTTCGCGCCCTCGAGGGCGCCCTTGCTCATGAGGGCAGGGCTGCTGCCGACTGGCGAGAGCATCGCTCCGAGCAGGGCACACGGCCAGCACGGCAGCGCGAGCACCACTTCTCGAATCCGGAGCGTGGCCGCCGGGCTGGGGGCGAGACCACTGACGAGGCACACGTCGACACCACATCCCCGCCTTTGCGATCTGCTTCGGAGGGGCCAACGACTTTGAGCCCATCTCGGGGACATGAGTTGGGGGGCGCCCGCTCTCGATCAGGGGGGGATCTGGGGTGTATCCCCGAGTCTCCCTCCTGCTTGGAACGGCCTGACCTTTCGGGAAGAACATCTGGGATCACTCGGAGGCGGCCGGGGGGTCCGAACTGGATGGGGCCCGAGAAGATCAGCCAGAATGAGCAACACGAGAAAATCGCGGGCAGATCCCCTCAAAATCTGCCCCCGGACTCTTTCTGGTGCTCACCTGGCGAAACATTCTTTCCACCCCGGATCGGTTTCTGACGGCCGCAGGGCCCTGCAACGGCCCCTGCAGGTAGACATGGGGGCGCCCGACTTCGCGCTTCGCGCTGCGCGAAGCGCGAATAACCTCGGGTTGTCGCCCCGCCCCCCAGGGGCGAAGAGGAGGATGAGGAATCGGAGCCGAACCGCGAAGCGCGAACAGTTTCGCGCCCTCGAGGTCGCGCCTTCAGCATAAGGAAAACAACCTTCTCGAACCCAAAACCTCAAAGCTCAACCCCTCCCCCTTCTGCTGGCTGGGGCGGCTGCTGGGCCACATCCCGTGCTGACTCACGTGCTGACTCAAGCGAGACATCGCCTGCGGACCGCCACTCCGAACTGCAACTGGATAAGATCGGCGCCCACCCGCGGCATGGAACACCTGGGATCCGAGGCGTCCTGAATGAGGTCCGAATGAATGGGGTCGGAGAATTGCCGATGTATCGCCGGTGCATCGGCGATGCAACAGCGACGTCGGCGTGGAGCAAATGTCGCTCCACACCGAGCCGCGTCGCCAATACGTCGCCGATGCATCGGCAATGTCGAGCGATCCCCCGACCACATCTTTTCCGACCCCGCCTGGGAGTCCTAGCTGCGATGTCCTGCTGCAGCCACAGGGGGACGCTAAGCTTATGTCGGGCATGTCCTCCATCAGGCGAATTTGAAACAAAATTCTAGAAGAAGTGTATATATATGTATACACAGACGTATTCCTCTTCCTATATGTTTGCGAGCCCGGGCGGGGGGGGCCCCCTCCCCCCCCCCAAAAAAAAAACGGACTCCCGGGATCTGGGGCTTTGGGACCTTCCGGACGGGCCTCGAAGCGGCCCCCTGGGCCTCGCAAGGCGTCTCGCCAAGCACCCGAAGACGGCCCCAGACGGGTTCCAAGCGTTCCGGCGCGCTCCCGAAACGACCCCAGAGAGCCCCAATACGGTCCACGACGACGCCCACGAAGCCGTCATATCCCTAAAGATCGCTCCGACACGTCCCAAGAGGCCTCCAAGAGCACTCCCAAAAAGGACCCAAGAGGCAAACATTTGTGATTTTCCTTTGGTTTTTGGTGAACTTTGGGGTTATCCTCTTTTCGGCTTCCCGACGCTCCAGGACGGCGGTCTTCTGGGCGTCCGAAGCCGCCTGGGAGGCTCCAAAATCGCCCCAGAACTATCCGAAAAGGCTGACAGGCAGTCCAAGACAACCCCAAAACGGCACAACAGGGGTCCAAGATGGCCCTAAGAGAGCCCCATGGCGGCCCAAGATGGCCCGAAGACACCCTCTGAAGCATTCCAAATAGTGACCCAGTCATTCAGGGAAACCGCGGTTGGAGGCAGGGTGGCCCGAGGAAGCCCCCAGAGGTTCCAAGAACCCGCCCAGGAGGCCTCCAGAAGGCCTTCAGAAAGCCTGAACAACTTTTGTTGTGAGGCCCCCAGAGGCTCTCCAAGGAGGAGCCTCCGCAAAAAAATAATTGAGGAAAATGGGGAGAATGCGCAGGGTATGGCGAGAATGAAGAAACAGAAACATGGAATACAAATAACGAATAACATTATGATAACGACGATGCCGGACAAGACAACAAAGAGTTATCGCTATATTTCCGGCTTGACCCTCCTGCCATTTCGCCTGAATGCCAAACTTTAAGGACCAAGGTGTATGGCGCGAAGCGCCAATGCAGTCTTGTGTATATATATATACACAACTGTATATGTATGTGCTTTTCGCTGGTACGAGCAACTTGTAAACAAAAAAACATTGGATATACTCCGCAGGAGCCTCGGGCACAACAGCCACGATCCCTGCTGGAAGATTGCCTTGTTGTTGTGGTTTCCCCCCTTCGTGTTTCGGCGCACGTGAAATACACAGCGCCCTGCGCGCCAGACAAAAGGAGCGCCTCTTCAACGCCGCGTAAACCATGGCCACATACCTTTCGCTACAAGAGAAGCCTGGATAAACATTCAACGGCTTCGCATTCGCGTGAGAGCAAACCGATCCTGCTGCGCGCTCAACCGACTCCATGCAATTCGTTTCAACTGGGCCCGCCTCGAAGACAAGCGACGGACGCAGCATGTGCCCTGAGGGCGCGCGAGGGGGGCCACCAGAAAACAGCCAATCCAAACGTGTAGACGATCCGAGGCCACCCGCTGATCGCAACGCGCGCAGATGGAAAACGGGAAGCACCGCAAAATGAAAAGATCACGGTCTGGGGAGCGGGCGGAACGCCGCGAGCTCTTCCTTTTTTATCGATCGGTCGATCGACCAATCTTCCGATCGACCGGTCCTCCTCCCCCACGTCCTCCTCCCCCCCCACGCGCACGTGCTTGTCCATAAAAGCGAAGGAAGGTGCACGGGAAAACTGGATTCAACAATGGATGCAAAAGTCTAAATGTTTCTTCCGTCTGGAAACTGCTGCGTAACGCGGGTCGCGCGCATCACATGTTTGACGCGCGCGCGCGTTGGGAACCAGTCCCCCAGCGGGATTGAGCACGCTGAGTGAAGCCGCGACGTTGCTATGGCGCGGAACCGCGCGCGCTCGGCAACATTGCGGCACGCTGTTCAGCACACGATAGTACCGCATCAGCATTGCGCGTCGTGCGTTTGGTAACACTGACCCGCTAGCGAACCCACTACATCATACGCCGCAGCGGCGCGATTTCGGGCGAAAAGGGGGGAGGACATTGCTACGAGGTTTTCGCGCTCTCGAGGAGCGGTCACGGGACCTGCCTCAAGGCAGTGCTGTCTAGAAAAGAAGCGGGGGCATCCCCTGGATGACCTGGAAGTGTCGGAGCTGCGTCCTGGGGTGTTTTGATGTCTCGCAAATGGTCGGCGAGCGTCTCGTGGGGTGTCTTGAAATCTCAGAGATCGCCGCGGGGGCATATCTCCAGTGACGTTAAATTTCCCACACGGCAAAAAGGGGGCATCTTTGGAATATTGTTTCAATTCGCAAATTGCAATGGTGCGTCCGTGGGGCATTGTGAAAACTCGCAGATGGCAGCGGGCTATCTGGATCTCTTTGGAGCAGCATGAAATTCGGCAAATGGCGCTGGAGCATATTCGGGCAAGATGTCTGGATAGTTCCAGGACGTGTTTGGAATAGTTCTCAGACGTGTGAAGGGGTCACTGCTGGAGTATTTTAACATTTGAAATATGCGGGGGGGATTTTGTGAATGTTTGACATCTGCGGGGCGCATTGTTGGAGTATGTTGTGCGCGCGCACTGCACTTGAAATCCTCCAGCTCAGCATTTTGCGTCGTCGGCGGGCGCGCGACATCCTGCGCTGGAGTATTTGATTAACTCGCGGGGCATGTCGGATACTCACTTCGAGTGTCCGAAGCACGCCGCTGCTAAAACGCGATAGCGCACGCTTCCGCCACGAACTGCAGCGAAACAAATGGTGGTGGCGCCACGCGGCGAAGCACGTTTTCCAACCGCGTGCATCGTACGTTCGCCTAGCCAATATCCCGCACATTATTTCCATACTATTTTTGGAGTGCTGTGAACATGACGAGAGACGAGACGAGACGAGACGCGCGTGTCCGCCGGCAGGCGGGCCCCTTAGGAGCGGCGCGGGCGGGCCGGGGCCCTGTCAGATGTGCGCGTGCGCAAGGTAATCCTTCTCCCAAGTGTTCCACAATGTCCGGTCTCCAGCAACATCCAACCACGACGTGGTATTGTCCCCAGTACTTGTCTTGTACATTTGTAACTTTCATCCTGTAGAGGGACATGCCCGGCTTAACGCTGAGCCCCCACCTCCATTCCATCGGCAAACTAAAGCGGCACATATTGACAATGTTCGGCCCCTGGGGTGCCCCTCGCCAAGCCTTGGAACCGTTAGTAAAACCACTCGGGTTGGATAGCCAGTCCCGGGGAAGAGGTCTAGACCTCTGGGGGGTCGACGCTGTGAACAAACCGCAACGTCGGAAATCCGGGACTGAGGAGCAGAACCGTTCTCCCTCTCCACGACCACAATGACGACACCGTGGTGAATGATGCGACCACGGAAGTCGCAACAGCCCAAAGTCGGCATGGAAAAACCTGACGCAGGCCCGTTCTCGCCCCTTTCCTCCCAAGCGAGACGAAGACGCCAACGAGGAGGAACCACGGGTGGGGAACGGGAGAACGAAAGACGAGGAGAACGGCTTGAGAACATCAGATGGCGAGCACAAGGAACTCCAAATAAGCAACTGGGGAAACCCAAAGGAGGAGGAGGAGGAGGAGGAGGAGGAGGAGGAGGAGGAGGAGGAGGAGAAGAAAGGCACCGATTTCGCCACTCCCCGGACCTCTCCCAGGGCGCGGTCGGACCAGGATTTCGAGGCGAACCCAGCGGTGGCGACGAGGGCCTCCCAGGAGGCCCCCCAAAGGGGAAAACGAGGGGAGGGTAGAGGTCTGGGCACCTCTTCCTCCTCCGAGGAACGGCCTCGCATCCAGCGGTGGCGACGCGGGCCTCCCAAGAGGCCCCCGAAAAGGGGAAAACGTCCCTGGGCAGAGCGCAAGGAGCGCCCAAGGAGAGGCACGGAGCCCTGCGCGGGGCCCCCAAGAGGCGCGCCCCCGGGCGCTCGAGGAGGGGCGCAAGGTTAGGAGGCAACTACTGGGAGGTCTTCGTCGGAAGGATTCAAGGAGGACTAAGCCCCGATGGTGCGCTGTTGCGCCAACTTGGGCTTCGCATGAAGCAGGATTGAGCCAGATTCAGCGGGATTCAGCGGGACTGAGCGGGAGTGAGCCGGATTCTGGACCAGGGCTGAATCAGAATTTGACCTCCCGGGAGTTACATCCGAAGCAAAGGGAGCTACCGGGGAGGGGCCCCTGGAGCCACGGGCCCCGTCCGAGCCCGAGCAGGTCCGCGTGCTCCCTTCGGCGTCTCACGGGCTGCACCTCCACCCACCTGCCATTCTCGCGAAGGGGCCCAGGAGCACACAAAGGAGTAGGCACAGATGTCCCAGGCTTCCCCCCTGTTGTTCCACATGCTCTGGGTGTTCGTCGTCCCCCCCACTGCCCATGTTTTCCCATATTTCCCTGGGAGTCGACGATTCATTTTAAGTCGGGCCTGTCACCCTACAAGGGGATTTTCGACGAAGAAATAACAATACCCACAAAATAATTAAAAAATGCTCCAAAAATAGTCTGGGGACTGTTTTTTGAGTATGGTTGACCTTTCTGGAATATGCGTGGGGTATCTTTATTGTTTCGTCGAAAATCCCCCTGTAGGGGGACACGCCCGACATAAGATTAATCGTGCCTGGGATGTTCCCCTCCGGATTCTGGCGAGACGCTGGAGCCACCGCCGACCACCCCCGCGAGAGAGAGGGGGGGCGGCCAAGCCGCGGGAGCCGCGCGAGCAGTCGGGAAGCGAGAGAAACCCCCACATCCTCTGGGTGTGTTCGTCGTCCCCCCCACTTCCCATGTTTTCCCATATCTCCCTAGGAGTCGACAATTAATCGTATCTGGGATGTTCCCCTCCGGATTCTGGCGAGACGCTGGAGCCACCGCCGACCACCCCCGCGAGAGAGAGGGGGGGCGGCCAAGCCGCGGGGAGCCGCGCGAGCGCACCCGGGAGGCGAGAGAACCCCCCACGCGCGGAGGAGGGGCGGGCACTCCCTCTGCTCACCAGCGGTGCGGCTATGTTCGAGTCGCGATGTCTGAGCACACGCAGAAGTCAAGAGAAATCCCAGGGCTCCCCACATACATATCTATATATATATGTATATATATATGTATATATATATATATATATATACATATCCCACATCTTCTGGGTGTTCGTCTTCCCCCCTCACTTCCCATGTGTGTCCAAGCTTTCCTGGAGATCGACGATGCATTGTGTCCGTGTGGTGCTTCCTCCCTTGGCTGCTTGAGGCGCGACAACGGAGGCGCCGCGTGGATCGTGCAGCCTTCAACGGCCGCGGCTTCTTCCCGCGCAGATCGCTCGAGCTCGGACGATTCGGGGCCGCAGTCGGCGTGGAATCTTTGAAGGGGCCCTAGGACACACAAATAAATACACACAAATAAAAATATCCCCCATAGTTTCCCATATTTTCTGGGTTTTTGTCTTCCCCCACACTTCCCATAGTTTCCTATATTTTCTGGGGAATCGTCGATTAATTTTGTCTGTGTGTGTTTGTCTCTCCTGAATCTTGACCGCCCGCGATGGATCCGGCGCCGCGTCAACGCGGCGCGAAATTACCGTATCCACCATCTAAGATCGAAACCAGCACCGCTCGAGGAAACTCTGTCATTCAACATGTCCGCTGTGGAACGGGTGTTCCGACTGGCATGACCAACGAGGCTGCTGCTAACATTGAACTGACATGGAGTCGGAAGAGCAGAACAAGCCGAGTCGGGACCGAGCCCCATGTGCACGATGTCGCTCGAGTTCAGCCGGATGTCAAATGGCCTGCCCGATTCTTGCGCGCTGCGTCAGCGAAGATAAGTCAGAACCCTAGCAGTGGTACCACTAGAGGCCTCCTAGATGGGGTCGGACGATCGCGCCACATCGGCGATGCATCGGCGATGCACCGGCGACGCCAGCGCCGCGAAGATGCATCGCATCGCATCGCCGATGCATCGGTGATGCTTCCGTGATGCGGCGCGATCCTCCGACACCACCTACTCCGATCCATCTAGGAGGCCCAGAACCACCGTCCCGCGGAAACCGCGCATCCTGGCCGACACAGAAATCAAGGGTAGCCTGGTGTTCCGGGCCAAGGGGGGAGTGCAATGGTGTAAATTCATGGCCCTCGAGTCCTTAGCCGCCACGTCCACCAGGAATACAAGCGAGAATTCATCGGGGGCCTTTCAAGGTTTCCGATTGCCCCAGGGCCTCTTGGCTTACTAGGAAACTGTGATGAAGATCTTGTTGAGAAGCTCTGGCACGCACTGAGTATCATGTCCCCCCCCTTTTCGGGCCTTTGCCGATTCCGCCCGAGCCTGTGACACCGACAGGAGGCCCCGAGATCAGCAGTTTAGACAAATCTGGATCGTTCAGTCATCGTTCAGTCGCTCCTAGCGCTTTCGCGCTTGCCGCCGCCCTCCGGTTCCGTTGCTTTGGACCGCCTGGGCTCTCATGGCCTGGCCTCCCTTCGCTGGGGAGGGCCGCGGATCGGCTGAATAAGAGTGCGTCGTAGTTCTTCGATTTGAGAGGCCCTTCAGATGACTCTTTAGAGTCGCGCGATGGACGTTCAAACAATCTGGATCTTCCAAATAGGAGAAAGCCACGCGGCGGATCGCGGTCGGCTGACCCCCCATCTGCAACGCGGATCTCCCCGTTCGGCTGCCGTGCGGCCGACGGCGGCAGCCACGCCGTGGAAGCAGCCACGTGGCTAGTGGTGGCTGGCTGTTGATGGGCGGATCTCCCCCGATACCATCAGATCTCCCAATCCTCCCTCTGGTGTTCGGTCGGGCATGTCCCCCTACAGGCGGATTCTGGAGGAACAACTAACGAGACCCTAGAAATGCCCCAACATGATCAAAACATGATAATCGGACTATCGTCCCCAGACATTTTTTTCACTATTTTTGAAGCTTCCTCCTGTGGAGGGACACGCCCGACGTAACTCTGGTGGCTGATGTTCGTCGTGCCCCTGCATGGCCCTCCCCCCCCCACGGCTGAAGGTCCGCCGAGGCCGCCCGCATCGGTGTCGATGGGCCCTCACTCGACGCGCCCGTGCTGAAACCTTCGCACGTCTGCGCTTGGCAACACACCTCCGGAAGGTGCACAGTGCCGTGATGACTGTTGCGGCAAAGGGTGACGGCCTGGAGGGTGAGTGGGGAGAGTGAGGACCTGGAGTATCCAAGCGTGCGTGCGTAGCACCCCGCAGGTGCGGATAAGAGTGGGGGGGCGGCGGGGTCGTCGACAGCCTGCGAGGCTCTGAGGGAGCCCGCCGCAGGCGCCGACCTGTTCAAAACTACACAACGAGCACGCCGCAGGTGCCGAATTTTTCTTAAAAGCACATGGGTGGGTCGCGGGTGGGTGGCGGGTCAATCGCGGGCAGGTCGCAGGGTGGGCCGCGGGTGTGTCGCGGGTGGGTCGCGGGCCGGGTCGCGGGTGGGACGACGACAACAAACAGCACACAACAAGCAACGAACAACAAGCAACTGACAGCAAACACCAAACAACAAACGACAATCAACACAAACATCACCAACAACACCAACAACAACAGCACACAACAACAACACCATCAACAACAACACTCATTTTAGACTGTTCGATCTTACCTGATCTGCCCGCGCGCAATTCGAAACGTACACCTCAACTCCTGGATGCCCGCCCCCGTCGTCTTCGATCGCACCCCCTTAGGGGTAAATCGTTCTTACTTGCTACGTGTATTTCGTGCAGACCCTAAGCGAGAGCGTGACTCCTGAGTGTCGAGGGCGCGGTGTTCGAATGAAGTGCCGGGAAGTCTCATGCGAGAGCTCGAGTCCTGTAAAATATTGCGAGGGCGTCCCGCGCGAGAGCGCGATTTGGGAATATATTGCGAGGAACTATCAGGCAAGAGGCGTTGTTGTTGTAGCTCGGGGGGCAACAACGCAATTTAATGGTCTTTCGCCTTCCCTTGTAAAAAACAGGGTGGCAGCCCCAGGAAACATTTCAATGCCAAAAAAAGGTTGCCGAAGGGGGATGAAACAAAAAAAACCTTCCGACATGATAATTCAACAACAACAACAACAAGTACAACCACAACAACACCAACAACAACCACAACAACCACAACAACGGTTCGCTCTTACCTGCCCTCTTCCCCTTTGACTGTGCCCCTTTAGATACCTGCCCTCTTCGCCTTCGATCGTCCCCCCTTGGAGTTGTATCTGTCTTACCTGCAGCGTGTATTTCGTACAGACCCTAAGGCAGGGGAAGGGAGGACGGAAAGACGGAAGGGGCAAGGGGCAGGCGGGTTGCTGCAGCGGGCGTTCTGCATGACTCGCGAGGACATCTCGAGCGATAGTGCGGTATCCAGACAAATCGCTAGGGGGAAATCCACAGCGACAGCGTGATTCCTGAATCTCGAGGGCGTTGTGTCTGAATACATGGCGGTGGGGTCCCACGCGAGACCGCGATTCCCGTGTAAACTCTGAGGACGTCCCGCGCGAGAGCGCGATTTGGAAATACGTTGTGAGGACGTATCAGGCGGGAGCCGTTGTTGCTGTTATTGTTGTTGTTGTTGTTGTAAACCGGGGGGTCAGGGGCACAATGCGGTGACACCTCTCCCTGCCGTGGAAAAAACAAGGTGCGAACACCAAGAAAGACTTTTGACTGAACAGTACAATGTATACCGGGAAGGGAGGGTGAACAATCATCATCTTTAAAGTCAAAATTCAACAACCAAACCAGCAACACCAACATCAACAACATAAGCATCATCATCAACAACAGCACCAACAATCATGTTAAGACTATTCGCCCTTTTCTGCTCGCGGGCCAGTCAACACGGATTTCCAACCCCTCGATACCAGCTTTCTTCGTCTTCGATCGTGCCCCCTTGGAGGTCCATACCGTTCTTACCTGCAACGTGTTCTTCGTGCAGCCCCTACGGCAGCGGAAGAGAGGATGGATGGAAGAAACGGACAAGGGAGAGGGAGGAGGACGGAGCACGAGAAAGAGTAGCAGGAGTGGGGCTAGGAGCAGAAAATACGTGGCAGAACCAGCCAGGCAGATCGGGCGGAAAGACCCTCACAGGCGGGTCGGGAAGGCGGCCGAGCAGGCGGGTGGCTGAAGCGTGCGTCCTGCAATAATCGCGAGGAAGTCTCGAGCGATAGCGCAATTTCTAAATAAGTCTTGGCGAGAGCGTGATTCCATGATTCCTGAGTGTCGAGAGCGCGGCGTTTGAATACATGGCGAGAAGGTCCCACGCGAGACCGCGATTCCTGCGTAAATCGTGAGGACGTCCCGCGCGAGAGCGCGATGTGGGAAACAACTGTGAAAGAGTATCAGGCGGGAGCCATTATTGTTGTAGTTCGGGGGCCAACGACGCAGCTTGGTGACCCCTCGCTTCCCCTTGTAGAAAACAGGGAGCGAGCCCCAGGAAAAAACATTCGAATTTGAAAATATGGAATGGTTATCGGAAAGAGGGGATCAGCCACACTTACTTCTTAGAGATGAGAGTCCAACAACAACACTAACAACAAAAAAACAATCCGCACCGCGGAATCACACTTTAGCCGCGCACTCAGGTGCAGTGGATGACTGTTCGGGCCCCTCACTCAGATGACACGCTACCTGGTATCATGACTGCCACTTCGTTTCCCCTTTGGATATGCCAGCTGATCAGCCTCTGTGCATGGGAGAGGGCAACGGATAACATGCAACCGCATGCACTCGAGTCATCGGAACTTGCCCTCGACACATCGCAAAACTCGATTATGGATCCGTGTTCCTCTCGCCCTCCCTCCCCCATCACTCTCTGCCTCACTCCCTCATCTACTTCTTCGCCCCCATCCGTTCCATCACCTCAGCTCCACCCTCTCTCTATCTCTCTAGCTCTCCTCCCCCTTCCCCTCGCTTTGACCTTCCCCTTGCCTCAGCCCTCACCTGGTTCATCATGTCCGTCTTGGACCAAAAAACAAACGACACCACCCCACCTACGGCACCAGGGGCCTCAGGGTATACCAGGACATCTGGCGTGGGTTTTTGCGTTGTGTACGCCACAGCGCCCGATGGGCATGAGCGCAGCGTGGAGGCCGTAGGTGGGGTGGTGTCGTTTGGTTTTCGGCCGACGTCTCCCACTCTCTCTCCCTCTCGCCCTCTCTCTCTCTCTCTCTCTCTCTCTCTTGGCGACCCAAAAGGGGGTCCAGCTGCAAGGGGGTAGTGCAATAGATTTGGGGCAATTGTATTGCAGACGTATTGCGCCGGAGAATTGTATCGCATTGCATTGCAACTGATGCATTCCACGCGAAAATTCAGCAATACGTTTGCGCCCTGGAATGTATTGCACGCCCCAAACGTATTGCAACCCACCAATCTATTACACCAAATCTAATGCACCACCCCCTTTGTCGCTGGACCCCCTTTTGGGTCAACCCGACTCTCTCTCTCTCTCTCTCTCTCGTCCTCTCCCGCGGAGGCCCTGCGGCAGGCACCCCCCAGGCGGGAGAGCGCTCCCGCAACCCGCACCTCTGGTCCGACGCCTGCCTCCCCGAGCCCCGGGGGGATAGCCAACGCCGCGCCGCTCTCTCGAGCCGCGGGCCCCGGACCTCTCGACCGCGCGTAAGTCGGGCCTGTCCCCCTCCAGGGGGATCCTGGGCGATATATATATATATATACACATACAAACATACATACATACATACATGCATGCATACATACATACAGACAGACAGACAGACAGACAGACAGAGAGACAGACATGCATACATCTATATGTACATATATCTATGTTTGCATAGATATACAAATATGTATACACATATATCTATCTACATACATATATACATACATATAAATATATACACACATATATATATATATATATGTAAACTCCCCAAAGGCTAAACAATAATCCGAAGATCGGCCCCAGACTATGTTTCTCATTTTTGTTGCATGCTCCTCCTGTAGAGGGACACGCCCGACTTCAGACCAAGGCCCCCCCCCCAGGGCCGTGGCTTCTCGTCCCGAGCCGCTCTGGGACCGTCCCGCGGCCGGGCCAGGGCCCCGAGAGGCCGCAAGCCAAGGAGTACTTCGAAGGAGAAAAAAAGGAGATCGACAAGGCGATGGTTTGATCGACAAGGAGATCGACAAGGAGATTACAAGGAATGCTTCGAAGGAGATTACAAGGAGATCGACAAGGAGATGGTTTGATCGACAAGGAGATCGAGCGGGAACCCAGGAACCCCGAACCCACCGAAATCGGCCCAGCACCACAATGATAACCAGGAGCCCGCGAACACGGAACCAGGAACCCGGGAACCCAGCCGGCCGCCAAAATCGGCGGGACACTTTCGCCAAATCCTTCAGTGCAAGCTCGGCGGTGGACAAACCACCCTTTAGTAAACCTCCCCTTAGTGAAAACGGCCTAGGACAGAAACCGACGGACCTGGACCCGCAAAAATGACAGCCGCGACGCCCTCTCGCGAACCGAAAACGGCCAATTCACTAATCGACGTGTCAGGGTGGGAGGTTTATCCACCCCCGACAAGCACCGATTGGGGAAAAACATTCCGTGAACATAAACCTTGGGCGCTCCGCGCGGGGTTCTCGGATCTGCGCCGGACCCCCCTTCCCAGTGCGCGGAGCGCGCCAGGGGCGGCGCCAGGGGCGCCGCCAGGGGGCCCCAAAGCAGATCCAAGAACTCCGCGCGGAGCTCCGGAAGCTTCTGCTTATGGCGATCTTCCGGATTCGAAGGGAATGCAGTAAGGGCTCGACCACAAGAAACCTTCCACAAGAGACCCGGCCCTCGAACCCCAGGACGTCCATTGATCTCTGGCGTGGGGACGTCACGCTTTCCATGGCAAAACAATCGAAGCCCAAGAAACCCAGGGCACCCTGGAGGCCAGCGCGGAGGATCCCATTCGGAGATATGCAGCACAAACCGGGGTGCCCGCGTGGATCAACAACACGAACGACAGGACCACGTGGAACTCGATGGCTGAGGGCTTCGCCGCATGGTTTTCCAAGAGCAGCCTCCAGGTATAATGCTTGTATTGTTGGTCGTTTCACCCGCTTCTGTTTCACTCTGGCTGCCGCTGTGCCCCAAGCGGGCCTCCACTGGCGACACAGCCTGGAAACTGGAAACGGGAAACACCCTGGAGGCCAGCATGGTGTTTCTCGGCATGGGCCCCACCCGTACGTGCGTCTCGAGTCCGGTTCGATGCGCCAAGACGCCTGGGAGGCTCGCCCCCTCCCCCCTCGGGGAGCCGCACGGAGGCGTTGTACGCGGACAGCGCGCTCAGGAACCTCTTGGGCTCCTGCGGCCAGGGGGGGCAGGGCACGCCTTCGAGCAGGGGATCGTCGACAGAATCGATGTAATGCGGGATGACGATGAAAAAATAAGAGAGAACGATAAAAAATAGTGTTCTGCTATTTCTGCATATTTTTCTGACTGGATGAGAACGATTTAAGAAAAATAATGTTCCAGCCCGCGGCCGGTTTTTCCTAATCGTCATCCCGGGCGCCGCCGCGTGAACACGACCCCAGGTCATTTATGAATCGTCATCCTCCATTACCCCAAACTTGATCTGTTCGTCAACCCCAAGAACAACGCGAGCATTCTTCAGGAGAGACAAACATGCATACCACTGCCACCAGCTTGGGAGGTGCCCGCTCCCTCCCCTCAAGCCGGTGGCACCTCCTTCCAGGCACTCTCTGGAGGCATGCCTGGAACCAGGTGCCACCAGCTCGAGAGGGTGGGACAGCCATCCCCCTGAATTCCACGAATGGCTCGACGGTCTACACACATTCTACGAATGACCCCACGCATGCATGACGAACGCGCAGGATGTTTATGTAGACCTACGAACAATCTAGACAGGACTCGGCGACGATGGCGATGGCGATGGCGATGGCGATGCGATGGCGATGGCGACGACGATGATCATCAAGTTGGTAGGAGGCAACTACTGGGAGGTTTTCGTCGGAAGGATTCAGGCAGATGAAGCCCCATTGGGAGGCTTTTACGAAAGAATGGGCCTCGGATTAAGCGGGATTGAGCCGGATGATGCGGGATTCAGCGGGATTAACCCAGATTAAGCGGCACTAAGCCGGATTAAGCCAGGCTTCGGACCAGGGCAACATCAGAATTGGACCTCCCAGGAGTTGCCTCCGAACAGTGGGGGGTCGAGAGTCCAATTTGGGGCACAGCGACTCTGCAGGCGATCCCCTGCCCGACGCCTGCGGCCGCGCCGCGCCGCAGGGCCTCGGGGATCTTCTGACCCGGGTCAATCCAGACCCGGGTCAGCAGGAAACCAAAAACTGCAATGCAGGAAAAAAAAACTGCAACGCAGGTCTTCGCAAACCCGGGTCAGCCAATATGTGCGGCCGCCTCGCGGCCACGAGCGGCTCCCAAACCCGGGTCAGCCAGAGGGGGTCTTCGCAGGATCCTGCAGGCTCTGGCGCCCTGGCTGACCCCCGTTTGCATTGACCCCCGTCTCGAGGCTCCCGAGGGCCCCCAGGAGGAATCCCCCCGGCCCCGACGGGGCTGGCGCGCGCCGCCTGGGCCCCCCGGGGAGACGGCCGGCAGCCGCGAGGCCCTCGGCAGCTCCCAAGGGGGGTGGCAGGAGGGATTTGGAGGAGGGGGAGGGGGAGGGAGAAAGAGGAGGAGGGGGAGGAGGGGGAGGGGGAGGAGGGGGAGGAGGAGAAGGAGGAGGAGGAGGAGGAAGACCTCCTCGCCCCCTCCTGCTAAGCTCTCCGGTGCTCCCTCCTTCTCCCTCTGCAGCTCACAAGGGGGGTGGCAGGAGGATCTGGCCATCGCTCGGACGTCCACTCCCTGTGCTTTTTTCGGTTTCGCAGCACAAACTAAGATGCAGCACAAAAATGCACCAACATTGCCGAAACACTCGCAAAACATGGTCCCCCGACTAGGTTATAAATGTTTGTGAATATCCCCCCTGAACGCTCTGGGAGCGTTCCCGAAGGCACTGGAACGGATGTGTCCTCGTCCCAGCCCCGTCCGAAGGATAGGGAAGAGGAGGCACAGGGGGAGGGCGATGAGGAGGGGGGGAGCGGAGAAGGGAGGAAGAGGAGGAGGAGGTGGGCGGAGGAGGAATGCCCCAGGTCTCCGGCGCCGCGCCTGTTCTTTCTCGCAACGTCGACCCCATGAGATCTGGATCACTTCCTCTGGACCCCCTGGACAGGCAACCTCTCGTCACCACTTTTACACATTGAGAGGAGGAGGAGGAGGAGGAGGAGGAGGAGGAGGAGGAGGAGGAGGAGGAATAGGAGGAGGAGGAGCAGGAGGACGAATAGGAGGAGGAGGACCGAGGCCCTCTGCATGCTTCTAAGACAGAGAGAGAGAGAGATAAGCCGCGGTCGCCCCCAGATCTGCAAGAGGGCCGCCCCGCGGACAAGCAAAAAGCCCACCCGCGGCCCGTCCTGGAGCCTGACCAAGGCGATGTCGAAATCCTCGCAGATGACCGGCACGTAGGCCTGGGGTTCGGCTCCAATCCGGACCACCCGGTGAAGAGGAGGAGGAGGAGGAGGAGGAGGAGGAGGAGGAGGAGGAGGAGGAGGAGGAGGGGGAGGAGGAGGAGGAGGAGGAGGAGGAGGAGGAGGAGGAGGAGGAGGAGGAGGAACAACGCAGAGGCCGCAGGCGGGGGCCGAGCGACAGGCGCCTCCCCCGACGCGCACCGAGGAGCCACCCGAGAACGACAGCGCGCAGCAAGAAAGCCACCCCCTGGCCATCGCTCGGACGGCCATTCCCTGTGTTTTTTTCAGTTTCGTGCGTGGTTTTTTCGCCAAATGATTTATCAAGGATGCTCCTCGATGGTCCTCGCCGTAGGAACAATGCACACGTCCGAGCGATGCCAAGCCCCTGCTGGCGCTGCGCCCGGCTCCCGACGCCGCGCGAGCCTTGCGGCCCCGAGGAAGGCTTCTCTCTCGGCTGCGGCCCGGCCCGCGGGCTAGATCGTGCAGACTGCGTGCCGTGGGGCCGAGCTCCCCCGAGATCTTCGGTGGCAGCTCGTGGGAGCCTCCCATACCATCTTGCCGGCTCTTGCGAATCGGTGCTGGTCGGCGCTGGCCGACGCGAATCGACGCCAAGCCGACGCTACACCGACGCGAGCCGACGCTAAACCGGCGGCATCTCATCGACCCTTGGGCGCTAGCCGACGCCAATCGACCCTAAAAGCGAAAGCACGAGGGTATACCTGAAGGGAAACTGGGACACACAAATAGAAAAATATCCCCCATATTTTCCAATATTTTCTGGGTGTTTGTCTTCCCCCCCACACTTCCCATATTTTCGCATTTTTTCTGGGAAGCGCCGATTAATTGTGTCCGTGTGTTTTTTTTTCCCCTCCTGAATACCAGGCTCCCATGATTTACTGCCGAAGAGATCCTGGCGTCGCACTTGTTGGTGGAATCGGGTGCTGCCGTAGCGTGTCGACCCCCGGGTCCCTCACACATATGGGTCCAGCTCGACGGGCACATCAGCAAGATGGGGTCCCTGGCTCGGGTCCCGTCCTGTTTGTTTCACGATGTCGCGATTGTCCCGCGTCGTCGGATCTCGGAGTCCATCGGGGGCCAAAGCCCGAAGCTTTCCCAGGAAGGGCGAGGCCTTCCCAGCTGAGAAAGCTGCACGTTCCACGGCAGCTGGAAGCCATCAAGCCAGGCCACAGCAACCGACACGGGACGCTGAGGGTGCCGCGACGCGCTGCGCGATTACCACTCTTGCGGAAACCGTCTGCAGGCCCGTCGAAATCTACCAAAACCTTCAACCTCAAACGCCCGCTCTGGCGCTGCCTCAGCGTCGAGGCGGCGCGGTCGCGGCGTGATGTCGCTGGGATTGGGCATGTCCCCTTACAGGGGGATGTTGGATGACAAATAAAAAATACTCAACAAATATTCAAACATGCACAAGAATACTCAAAAACTCGCCCCCCGACTATTATTTTCCTATCTTTGAGCGTTCCTCCTGTACATGGACAAGCCCGACTGAAGGCCAGAGAGGGAGTCAGGGACTCGCAGTGCCAGAAATGGAGCAGGGCAACTCGAGACACCGGCAGCTCAACGTCGGTCCCCCGACCCCTCCTAGGGCTAGATTGCTCCCATCGTACTTAAGGACCACATCCCATACATAATCTCGAGCACCTGGAGAGGTGTCGAACCAGTGTCGAAACAATATCGACATGGTGTCGAACGAGCGTCTCCCAGGGCCCGGCACGTGAGAACCTTCGAGTTTCGGTGCTGTCTTGGTGCTCGACATTCTTTCTGCTGCTCCGGGCTCAAGTACAGTCTGGCCCCTGCCGAAGCCCATTTTCTTCACAACCAAATAATAAATATGGAAGGAACGGCCGAGCCCTTTTTTAGGAAGCGTTCCCTCATCGCTGCCTCTCGTTTTGACAGAGACCTCCCCCCCCTGCCGAGACCACGACCCAAGATGCGAGGGAACGCCAGCAGACCCAAGGAACCACCGAGCCCCTTCCGAACCCGAACTGGACCTTCTTTCAGGAGCCGCCCTGTAGGCTGGAACATCATACAGTCAAAAACCCTGATAAGGACGCGCGGTAAGGACGCAAGACCCTTGGAAGCCGAAGTTGGGATTTTGGGGGCGGCGGACGACGAAAACCTCAAGGACGCGAGAGCAAGCAAGAGCAAGGACGCAAGGGTACCCTGAGCAAAGTCGCGCGTCCTTATTAGGGCTCTTGACTGCAATCCCAGGGCCCAGGCGCACCGATGTTCTGGAGCTGCGCCCAGCCGCGGCGGCGAGGGGGCCCCCAGAAGGCCGACGGCCGCCGCCTCAACCCGCCCTTCCCCCCCCCCTACAAAAGAAGAGCTTCCGGGGGGGGGGGGGGGGCAGGGAGGAGGGAGGAGGAGGGAGGAGGGAGGAGGGAGGGAGGAGGGAGGAGGGAGGAGGAGGGAGGAGGGGGGGAGGAGGGAGGAGGGGAGGACGGGGGAAGGGAGGAGGAGCAGGGAGGGGAGGGCGAGGAGGCCCTCCAGGCTGCACCTCCCTGCCCCCCCCCCCCCGACGGCCAGCGGCCCCCCGGGCGGCCACGCGGGCCCGTGCCCCTGGGCACCGCCCGGGCCCCCGGGAGCCCGCGCACCGCCCCCATCTCCTCCTCCCTCGGTGGGCTCGGGATGGTCTGCTCGGATCGGGAGCGTCCTACTCCCGCCGCCCTCCGCTGAGCTCCAGCAGAGGAAGGCGTTGCCAGCTCCTTCGACCCTCGAAAGGCGGACCACGCCCCCTCCGCATGCGCTCCGTGCAAGCTGGACGGGCCACGGGTTATGTTGTCCCCACCGTACTTATCGGGAGCGGCCAAGAGGGGGGTGGCCAAGAGGGGGGGGGGTGCAAATTATGACCGGCGGCACGTGCGCGGCCCAGCGGGGGGGCCAGGAACGGAATGACATAAGAAGAGGCGCTATGACATCTGGGGAAATATCATGGCCCACGCCATGATATCCACCCCCCCTAGTCATCACCCCCCTCTTTTCCGCCCCCGATCGGAGGTTGGGGGGGGGAAATCGACGTGAAAGGGAGACCCCCCCCCCCCTGCCGGGAAGTCGATTCCGGCTTCGGCTTCGGCTTCGTGTCGTGCGTGCCGTGCCGTGCGTGCGTGCGGGCGGGCGAGGCTGCGTGGGCGGGCGAGAGGACATTCTCCTGTGGCTGGGCCGCGGCCGGACCAAAAGTCCCGCCACCCTCGGTGGGCTCAGGGTGGTCTGATGCAGTCAACCAGTAGGAGCAACGACGCGCGATGAGGATGCCGAGGGCCTTGGACGCCCACTCCGAGGCCTTTCGAGCAGGGCGCGGCCGGCGGAGGATGTACGGAGGATGGACGGAGGAGACGAGGATGCAGGGGCACCCTTGGGAAGGCTGCCCATCCTACCATGGCTGACTGCATGAACCTGGCGGGAGGAGGGAGGCGGAGTCCAGGAGGAGGGAGGGAGGAGAAAGGAGGGAGGGAGGGAGGGAGGGGGGGAGAGAGGGAGGGAGGGAGGAAGGGAAGGAGGGAGGGAGGAAGAAAGGAAGAGAAGGAGGGAGGGAGGGAGGGAGGGAGGGAGGGAGGGAGGGAGGGAGGGAGGGAGGGAGAGAGGAGGAGCCTCCCCTCCCCTGCCTCCCCCTCCCCCTCGGAAACAGGGCAGGCCCCCGCGACGTGGGCCGGCGCCCGCGAGGCCGCGGCCGGCGCGGCGGCCTCTGGGTGACGCGCCCGACCGTCCCGGCATTCCTAAGAGGCCTACCACGAGATGTTCTTACTGGGATGGGCGGGAGGGTTGCTAAGAGCACAGGGGGGTTATCAGTGGACGCCAAAGGGGTTACACCTGACCTAATCTAGCTTTTAAGCGGGTTACACATGCCCCAAGTGGCTTGGGGGGGATAGCGATCCAGGCTAAGTGGGCTCCACCCACTTAGCGGAGTTGTCGAATCCCCCTAAACCACTTGGGGCATGTGTAACCCACTTATAAGCTAGGTTAGGCCAGGTGTAACCCCTTTGGCATCCACTGATGACCCCCCTATCCCCTGATCACCCCCCCGCCCATGCCAGTAGGACCCAAAAATGTTCGAGGAACACAAGCAATGTTCTTAGAACGTAGACCCGACGTGGTAAAACAAGGCAGTCCCGGCCAGAACTGTTCTAAGAGCATGTCGTGGAAACCACGGAAGAGGTTCTTCGAACATAGTTTGGTAGGCCTATAGGCGAGCCAAGACGCTTCGCCCCTGCTTGACATCGGGACGTACAACCGCCCTCCCCACCCAATTCAAGACCACGGCTGAACCAAAAAACACACAGCACCGAGACCTCAGGCTCCAGAGCCGGCCCCGACCCCGAAGCACAAAACTCGAGCTCGTGCTGACAAATTCAGGCGCCCCCTGCAGCCGCACCTTGGGCCCCCCAGGCATGCGCATCGACGGCAATGGCGATATCACAGGAGCGTTTTCTTATTCAGCGTTTCGAAATCGAGCGAAAGAGGGGGGTAGGGGTGGTCTGGCTCCGGACCTGTAGCGCGACTGTTTGGAGCACTGCTCCCATGGGGAACCTTGTGGGGAGCCGCCCACCTGCTTGAAACAGGCGCCCAATATAGCCAAGATCTACTCCATCGGGGGGGGGGAGGGGAGGGGTGCGAGGGCCCGTGCCGATCGGCAAAATGAGGAATACGAAAACCACCACGAGGGAGAATCTATTCGGACGGTCTCCGCTGGAATGCGAGGGAGAATCTATTCGAAAACCATCACGAGGGACGAATCTATTCTACGAGGAATACGAAAACCATCACAAGGAATACGAAAACCATCACAAGGAATACGAAAATCATCACGCTGGATCGGGTCTCCGCCACAAAACCCCTGGGGCGGGGCCGCTTCGCTGCCGCTCTCGTGCTGGGTATGGCGTGCGCCCAGCACGCTGTGCTAGGTGCGTCGGGTGGGCTCCCGAGGCAACACAGACCGAGGAGAGCCGGCCCCGCCCCGACCTCTCGAGCAACAGGCGCCGCCAGGCCGAGCCCTGCCACCCGACGCCGCAGCGCCGCTCTCGCACCCCTGGAGGTAGGATTACGTCGTGCATGTCCCCCTACAGGGGGATTTTCGACGAAAAATATATAAAAAATACCCCCAAAATACCCCAAAAAGGTCAACAACCATTCAAAACATAGTCCCCAGACTATTTTGGGATTATTTTTCGTGTATCTTTTATTTTTCGTCGAAAATCCCCCTGTAGGGGGACAGGCCCGACCTAAAGGTAGGGAAGGGGTATGGTATCAAGGGGTGTGGTGCTCATTGCACGTAAGGGGGACTCTGGCGATGCGATTGATCGCAGGTAGCATCGGCATTTCCACGATCGGCACCATACCCCTATATGCCACACCCCTTTCCGATCTCCAGATCACCCCGAGGCGCCCTCAGCGAGGCTGGCTGATGAGGGCGAGCCCAGGGCGTATACGTAGCCAGACGGTTCGGATAGCAGAAGGTGCACCGATACCGCTACTCCCCAGACCTGTCCTGGGGTGCGGTCCGACCAGGACTTTGAGGCGAGTTCAGCGGTGCCGACGAGGGCCTCCCAGGAGGCCCCCCAGGGGAAAACGGGGGAAGGGTAGCGGTATGGGTACCCTTTCCTCCTCTGAAGCGGGGCGTTCGCGCCGCTGCTGCATGCAGAGCCCCCCCCCCGCCGACCTGTCGGAGCCCTTGCCCTCCGAAGGGCTCCCGTGCTTCCCTCCTGTTTGGACACCCGAGATGGGTACGGAAAGAAGGGGTACGATGCCCAACAACAAATGTTGTCCCAAACCAACAGCGGCCGCTGTTGGGCAGGCGGCCTTCTGTCTCGAATGGACACAGGCCGCGGCGGCGTGGACAGCGAGTCCTGTTCAAAATGGACAGGAACTGCTGATGAGCATTGTACCCATTCTTTCCGAGCCCACCTCGTTCGTGCAGACGAAGGGCTCCCGTGCTTCCCTCCTGGAGCCCCAGGTCCGGCTGCCTGCGACAAGTGCCGCGCCCGGCAAGGCGGCGCAGTCGGGGGGGTCGCCCGTGCGGGGGGCTCGCGCCGGGCATCCCGCAAAAAGCGCGGCCGCGCCAGGCACCGCTCTGGCTGCCTGCAGGGCCCAGGACGGGTTGCGATAACAGGCCGTGCGGTGATCTCAAGAGACAGGGCTGGTTTCGACCTCGTTTTGCGCTAGAGGTGGACTGAAGACAAAACGGGGGAAAACAAGCACAACACGCACAAAACGAAAAGGAATAACACCGGTTAGGTTCAGCCCTGCCAAGAGACCTCACCGCACGGTCGTCTGGAACATCCTCGGAGGACCCATACCCTCCCCGTCGAATGTTTTGTCTCCGGGCCACCACTCGGGTCTCCCGCGGCTGCTCGGGATGATCTGGAACCCCCTGAACGCTCTCGGCAAGGCGCAGCTGCTAGAATGGGAGGGTGAAGTATATCCGGGAAGGCGTTTCTTTCTCTGGAGCAATGCAACAATTCACACGCCACACATTCATGGGGATCTGCACTATTCAAGGTGCCAGCGCGGGCAGGCTGTCTACGGCAGGGCGAGGTAGGACGAAGGCGAAACGCGCTGCACTGCGCACGGGATCCTACAGATACGTCGGGATAAGCAACGGGTCACGGCACCCCGCGTGAAGCGGCTCTGAAAAGACGGGCGGGCCCTGACAGCGCGGGCCGGAAAACCGCCCTCAAAGTATCCACCAATGAGGCGCGAAACTTGCCCCGGCGGATTGGTGTATATATGTTGGCCAAATGCTGCAGGGAAAACACACAAGAAAAATATACACAAATCGAAAACGCATTGGAAAATATCCGCCAACCACCCAAAAAACGCCAGAATCGACAGAGACTTTCGCCTGGAGGAGGGGGGGCAGGACCGCAGGCACCAATGCTGATACTAGTGGGGAAACAACACAGCAACTTGCGAGGATCGGAGAGGAGGGGGGGCCGACGACAGCGTCGCAGAAACACTCTGCACCAACGTCGCGACAGTGGAACACCATGCCACACCGCGCACCTGGGCTGCAACTCGGCCCCCCCTGTAAGCTCCCAAAAACCACAACGGTCAGCCGAATGCATCACCTGATATATTGTGTGCTCCGATAGAAAGCATCCCGAGAGAGGAGGACTGCCCAGAACCGAGACACCTATCTAAAACTGGCTCTAGAGCCTCGAACCTGGAGCCCCTGGGCCTGTTTGTTAGGAGTCCCCACTGACTCACCACGCGGTGCGGCCACCGCACCTCAAAGGCCCGAGCTGCGCGGGGGCCGGCCTGGAACTTCTCCTGCCCCAGGGCCGGCATCTGCACGTTGACGCGGTGTGCGTTGCGCACCTCCGCCGTCTGGACAACCCGCAAGAGAACGGCGACGGACGATCTGGGGCAGCTTTCGGCCTCTGGGAGGGCCCTCATGCGGCCTGGGGGCTCTCAGGAAGACTCGGGGTTGAAAATCTGGTCCTGGGGAAAAGGGTCCAGATCTCCGGCAGTCCACGCTGTAACAGAACAAGCGCACGACGTGGGAGTTCTGGGAAGCGTCGCAAGTTGAGCCCGCGCTCTCCCCACAGGCTCCCTCCTTGGTCCCCCTTTTTCCCTCAGCGAGGGTGGGGGGCGGGAGTTCAGCCGGACCGAGGCGGATAGGAGGAGGCGGATAGGAGGAGCAGGAGGAGGAGGAGCAGGAGGAGGAGCAGGAGGAGGAGGAGAGCCTCGTGCCCATCGCCAAGTCTTCGATTGGAGGCGCAGCGTGTCGGATCTCGTTCTGGAGTGCATGAGGCACCCTCGTGGTCCACGCGAAGGGGGGCCAGCGACTGAAGTCCAGAGCAGGCGCTCGAACGCGACGGCGCGCCCAGAGACGAAGGAGGAGGGGGTGGGTCTTCCCAGAAGGCTCGGGAGGCCTCCGGCCTGCTGAGAAGCGTTCTCGGCCGTCTCCGAAGCCACAGGCGGCTTCCCAGGAGGCTGGCGAGCTTCTCAGAAGCGCCGCCGCCTGGAAGCTTTCCCCCGGGGCCGTCGGCGACCCGAGGAGGGGTGGGCAAGGAGGGGGAGGAGGAGGAGGAGGAGGAGGAGGAGGAGGAGGAGGAGGAGGAGGAGGAGGAGGAGGAGGAGGAGGAGGAGGAGGAGGAGGAGGAGGAGGAGGAGGAGGAGGAGGAGGAGGAGGAGGAGGAGGAGGAGGAGGAGGAGGGGAAGGTGGAGGAGGAGGAGGAGGAGGAGGAGGAGGGAGGGAGGAGGAGGAGCAGGAGGAGGACGAGGAGGAGGAGGAGGAGGAGGAGGAAGTGAAGGAGGAGGGGGAGGAGGAGAGGAGGAGGCCGCCGCCTTCTGGGAGGGCGTGGTCCCTCTCGCCTCCCCCCTCCGCGCGCCGCCCAGAAGGGGCTAGCGCCTGAGGCCCAGGGAGCGGAGGCTCGAAGAGAGCGGCGCGACCGTGGCGGCGGTCGCGGCCTGCGGTGCTGCACGCAGGGTGCCGCGCGCGTCTCGAGTGAGGAGCGCCGCCTCTTGCCTACCTGCCCTCGCCTTCGAGGGCGCCCTCCTTGCCCGCCCCTGCTTTCGGTCTTGGGTAAGTAGGCCCCTCCCCCCCTTGCGTCCGCGCTCACGCCACCGTCCCACCACCCTGCACTCACGCTGATTCTTCGCGATCCCTCCTCTCGGGCCCCAACATGGCGCCCTGCCCCCTCCCGCCCCTCTTCCCTCTCTCCTCTTGCGGAGTGCGCGTGGCACGGTGGGTTTTGCGGGAGGTTCTAGGACCGCTGTGACACCCCTCGACGGACGGAGGACCAACACAGGGCAACGAGAAGGGATTGGTGGGAGGGCTAGGATGTCAAATATGGTGCGGGCGCACCAAGCTTGCCTTTTCCTCCTCGCCCCTCACCTCTCCCCTAGGTCGTCCTGCTGCTCTGTCTCTCCTCCTGCTCCCCCAGCTCCTTGCTCCTCCTCCTCCTCCTCCTCCTCCTCCTGCTCCTGCTCTTCCTCCTCCTCCTCTCCTCCTCCTCTCCTCCTCCTCCTCCTCCTCCTCCTCCCTCCTCCTCCTCCTCCTCTCCTCCTCCTCCTCCTCCTCTCTCCCTCCCTTCCTCCTGCTCCTCCGCATCCTCCTCCATCCGCATCCTCCTGCTCTGCCTCCTCTCCTCCTCCTTTCCTCCTCCCCCCTCCCCTCCCCCTCCCCTCCTCCTCCTCCTCCTCCTCCCTCCTCCTCCTCTCTTCCTTTCTACCTCCTCCTCCTCCTCCTCCTCCTCCTCCTCCTCTTTCTCGCCCGACGCACGCCTCCAGGCCGAGCTGCCCTCTGCACCGCCGGGTCCGTATGTCCTACCGACGATGCGCTGCCCAGCACGTGCAGACCTAGCGAGAGCACAAGCAGGCGTCTGTTGGCGGCGAGGCCAGGGGTGGGGGGGTGAAACCCCGCTCCCTCCTGGGTAACTGTTACGATCGTGCGCAAGGGGGGGGGGGCTGGACCCCCCCCACGTGCTGCTGCTGGCGCGCGTACTGTGGCGATCGCATCGCGCCCCCGCCCCGACGCGCCCCACTGCGCCCAAGCGTCACCAACCCCGCCCCCGACTCCCCCACTCCGCCCCACTACCCTTCGGTCGGGCATGTCCCCCTACAGGCGGATTTTGGGGCGAGAAATTGGAAACATCCCCCAACAATGCCCCGAAATACTCGCGACACGATCGACAAATCGTCCCCAGACTATTGTTTTGACTCTCTAGGGATGTTCCTCCTGTAGAGGGGCACGCCCGACTTAACACTGACCAGGGCCCCAAGCTCGGGGGCGGCCAAGAGGGGGGCGCCCAAGAGGGGGGGGCGCAAATCTCATGGCCGGCGGCATGTGCGTGGCCTAGGGGGGGGGCCAGGGACGCAATGAAGTACGAAGAGGCGCCATGAGATCTGGGGAAATACCATGGCCCGCGCCAGGAGATCCGCCCCTACCAGTCATCACCCCCCTCTCTGCCGCCCCCGAACTAACCAGGGCCCCAAGCCCCCCCCCCTCCTCCTCCTCCTCCTCCTCCTCCTCCTCCTCCTCCTTCTCCGCCCCAGGGAACGACCGTCCCTGGCCCGGCGGCGGGCCCAGAGGGGGGCGGACACGAACGACGGCAGGCCGTCTTCTCGCACGGGCGGCGCGGCAAGGAAGCCCTCCGGCCTCCCGAGGCGCCGCCTTGGTCTCGGGAGGCTGATCGACCTCCTGCCCTGACACGTCGATCAAAGAATTGGCCGTTTCGGTTCGCGAGAGGGCGTCGCGGCCGTTAGTTTTGCGGGTCCGGGTCCGTCGGTTTCGGTCCTAGGCCGTTTTCACTGAAAGGAGGTTTACTAAAGGGAGGTTTGTCCACCGCCGACTGTCTCCAGAGAAGGCTTAGCTTTAGGTCGGGCCTGTCCCCGTACAGCGGGATCTTGGACGAAGGATAAAAAAGTAGTCGAAACATGCTCCCAAAATGCAAACATGGTCAACAAAAGCGTCCCCCGACTATTTTGTTAAGACTATCGTTGAATATTCCCCCTGTGGAGAAACAGGCCCGACTTAAGCTTAGCTCGGGAGACTTCTTCAAGGCGCGAGGGCTTCTGATGAGCCCCGCCGCCTTTCGGGTCGGGCGAAAGGGGGGGATAGCAAAGGGGGGGTTTGAGAATCAGCTCGCGTAGCTGATTTTCCCGGCGCCTCCCGGCGCCGGAGGCGGCTATGTATCGAGGAATGGACCCCTCGGCGGGGCCTAAACCAGCTGCATGCAGCAAATTTCGTAACCCCCCTTTCCCAATCCCCCCCTTTCGCCCGGCCCGATTCTTCAAGGCGCGAGGGCTTCTGATGAGCCCCGCCGCCTTCTGAGACGGCATGCCCCTCTCACGCCCCCCCCCCCCCCCCCCCCCCCAAGCGGGGCTCGCCGCCGACGGCCGGCCGTGCTGCAGGCCTCACGAGTGAGCACCGGCAGACGTCTGCAGAAAAGGAGCCCTTTTTGAATTTTGGGCCCCTTAAAGAAACCCTTTCGGTCCCAAACGGGAGCCTTCAGGGCCCGAAGAGAGCACCTTTCTCCCCCCCCCATCGATCTCTCCCCCCCCCCATTTAGCGACGCCCAAGCTGAGGAACCATCTGGCGGGTTCCGGAAACCCTGAACCCCCAAACACTCGCATCTCTTGGAGTGCTGTGGATGCCACGGCAATGGACACTCTAACAATCCTATCATTGAATGAAAGATGTGCTTAAACTGTGCAATGCATGTTCTAAGCATGTGTCAAACATGTTTTGCTGTACAAATTTGAAACTGATTCAAAACATGTTTGAAACATCTTTGAAACATCTGCAAATTATTTGGCAACATGCTTCCTCTCCACTAACCGACTTCCACAATTGGAGTGCTGACTTCTGCTTCCGCCGGCTCCCGCGGGCAGCCGTGGGCCTTCCGCATTGCCCTCCGCCGAAGGAGGAGCTGCCAACCTCTCTCCGCCTCGAGGACGAGACCCTTGCAGGAGCGCCCCGCGTGCAGATCTCACGAGAGCACCGGCAGACGTCGAGGCAGCTCTCGCGACGTCCGGGGGAGCCATCTGGAAAAAAAACAGCAAAAGCGCGGCAGACGATCTCGCTACCCTCTTGGTCACCAAAGCTCCCACATCGCGCAACGCGCCCAGCGGCTTTGCGCGTCTCGCGACGAACGGGGGCGACATCCAGGGAGGCGGGAGCAACGCCAGAACCAACCTGGAATAGGCCAGCCCGCGCGCGAAACCTTGGCTTGCGCAGCAACGCAGCAATGCGCGTTCAGCTTCGAGCAACCGCAACATCGCGCCGCCTCCTTGGAGGAGAAGGGCAGCCGGTTTTGCTCAGACCGCGGTGCACCCCCGCGGACAACCTGGCTCTTCGCTCAAGACGCCCCCCCGTGGAATAATGCACCAACGTGCCGCACAAGGCTGCAGAGCCCCCTTCGACACACTGCACAGCCTGAACGCCAAAACACATTTCAATGGATGGGCCCGCCCCTCGGCGCTTATGTGCAAACCCGGCAGCGTGCAACATGAAAGCCTGGAACAATGGCAAAAGACAATGACGCAGAGTGTCCTACATATGCAACATGTTGCACACATCGCTTCCTCAGCTTATCTCTGTGGCAATCTTCTGCAACACGAAAAGGCCAGATGTCTGCAGCACGATGGGTGCGTGCAGCAGCAAGAGGAGGGACCACGTGCGCGTTCGTCAAGAACACGGGGGACCCCTGGGCTCACACGCAGCAGTGACATTAAGCATGCACTGGGTAGACGGAGAGGTCGAGAAAGACTGCAGCAATTGTTCAGGATAGAGAGATGACGTCGCGTGCCCCCAACTGCATCGACATAGTGCAAAAACTATGCAACACGCACATACACGCACACGCCACTGAGATCTCACTACGCAGCCAAGATACAATGCGTTCACAAACCTTTTGCGAATGTCTGTCGGCGAAGACCCCACACAGCGAGCGATTGCAAACGTGCGTAAGCTATCTCGTGAGGGCTACGTGGTGTAGGCTATGGTGGACGCTACGTGGCTCACTGTGATTTTATATATATATATATAGATATATGCACGATGTGAGCTGTTATGTGGTGTGGGCTACGTGGTGCAAGATAAATAAAGTAACAACGAATGGTCTGTAGACCCCCTCCCCCCCAAAAAGGGGGTAACTTACTCATTGTTCGGCGGCCTTCTTCACGGACTGGGGCCCCACCACTAGAGGGCAACCGCATACTTCGTCCCCGCGGCACCTGCATCGCAACAACGACGCCGACAACTGCGACTACGATTGCGACTACGACTGCGAAAACCACGAATACTTATGCCTCAGGACCGCTCACGGCACAGCCTAGCCTCGGGAGCGCTCTCATGGAAACGTCCTCCTCCTCCCCTAGGAATGGCGCGAAGAGGAACGGCAGGAGGAAGCAGAGGAGGAGGTACAGGAGGAGGAGGAGGAGGAGGAGGAGGAGGAGGAGGAGGTGGAGAAGGAGGAGGAGGAGGAGGAGGAGGAGGGGGAGGAGGGGGAGAGGGGGGTTAGGAATTTTAGGACCAGTCATAGCAGCCGCCAAGGAAAAAGGCAGGGGCCCAGCGGACAGGCCGTGCAGGATTAGGCTCTGCAGCGCAAGCCATGTGGAGCCCAGGAAGCGCGCACGGTCGCCCACCCGGCGAGACACTTCCCCACAACGGCCCCACGCGGGACCCGACGAAGCCTCGCCAAAGCCGCCCCAACCGAACGAGGCGCCTGTGAGGCGCCCACGGCCGCCACAGGGAGCCCTGAGTGCAATCACTGCTTGGGCGGTGGTCACGAACAGGTCTTCTCCATCAGCTCCACGACAGCGCCACGCGCTGTGGCGCTCACCCAGACGGCCACGCGGCACCGTACACAACCGTCCAGTCACGAGGTCCAAGTGTGCCCCAGAGTCTTGGTGCTTCCCACGGCCCGAAGTGCCCTCGAAGCGAGCCCCAAGTACCAGAGATACAAGAGCGCATCTCGCTGGCTTTGGCCCCCAAGAAATTCCCACGCTAGGCCCAACACAGTCCAAGCCGCGCCCAACAGGACAAACCATACCTTGGCGAAGGACCAGCCATATGCACTTGTGCATACCGTCGTCGCGGGTATCACATCCAGGGAGTCTCCTCGTGGCGCCATGAAGCATGCGAAGGGTATGCCAATCTGGGGCGGGGCCGCCATGTGGGCGCTGCCGCTCGGGCTTTAGGTGGAGCCCACTATGGGGCCGCGACGCATTGTACTGGGAGGGGGAGACGTACGAGAGCGCCCCCGCTGGGGCCCTTGGTGGAGCTCCTCTGGGGCCGCAAAGCGTTGTAGTGGGTGGGGGAAAGCCATACGAACGTCGCCACTGGGGCCTGATGGAACTCCCGATGGGGCCACGAAGTGCTGTACTGGGTGGGGGAGACGCATGCGGACACCGCCACTGCGGCCTTTGGTCGAACTCCCGATGGGGCCACGAAGTGCTCCGGACACCGCCACTGGGGCCTTCGGAGGGGCTCCCTCTGGGGCCACGAAGCGCGGCCAACGTGTGGCTGTTCGGGGCAACCGAAAGGCAAGTTGGCCGGCGTGCAAGAGGAAAGAACGAAGACGAGGGCGGCCGCGCGGGGGGAGGAGAGGGGGTAAGCGCTCTGACGTGGAAGAGCTCCGCGAAGCGCAGGCCGGAGCGGCGAGCCGACGCAGCGGGGCAGCAGCCGGGGCCGAGGCCAGGGCGCACCCGCGGGCGGCAAAAACAACAAACACATCCTGATGGGCCTGTTTTCCACCACCACCACCACCACCACCACCACCACCACCACCACAAGTTGGAGGGGGGAACGAGGAGGAGGAGGAGGAGGAGGAGGAGGAGGAGGAGGAGGAGGAGGGGGAGGAGGAGGAGGAGGACCCCCGTCCCTCTCCTACCTATGGTGGTGGTGGTGGTGGTGGTGGAAAACAGGCCCGTCACATCCTATCACAATCGGTCGCCGGACCCACCCCTGGGGTCCGTCGTTGCTGTGGGCGAGTCCAGTCGGGGCGGCGGGAAGCCGTCAGGCGAGCCCGAGGGTGGGTCGGCAGACGGCGGGGGAGGGGCCGCGGTTGTCTCGGCGGGCCCTCCGCCGAGAGGCGGGGGAGAGTGGCGGGGTGGCAGGGGGAGGGGGGGAGCCCAGAGAGCGGGACGCAGGTTTCTCATGGCACGCCGGCCTCTCGGGGCCCCCGTCGGGCCTCGGGGCCGTCCGCGAGGAGGCTCGGGGAGGCGGAGCGGGTCCCGGGGAAGCGGCCGAGAGGTCCCGGGCCCGCGTCTCGGCAAAATCGACACGCCAGGCGCCTGGGAGGGATCCCAGGGGGACAAAAAGTGGCATAAACAGAACAACTCGGAGGTCCGCGCGGATTTCTCGGATCGGCGCTGGACCCCCCTCCCTGGCGTGCGGAGCGCGCCAGGGGCGGCGCCGGAGGCGCCGCCGGGGGGCCCCAGCGCCGATCCGAGAAATCCGCGCGGACCTCCGAGTTTCTATGTTCATGCCACTCTTTGTCCCCCTAAAATCCCTCCCAGGCACCTGGCGTCTCGATTTTGCCGAGACGCGGGCCCGGGACCTCTCGACCACTTCCCCAGGACCCGCTCCGCCTCCCGAGCCTTCTCGCGGACGGCCCCGAGGCCTGACGAGTGCCCCGAGAGGCCGACGTGCCATGAGAAACCTGGGTGCCTGGGAGGGATCTGGACATGGAGCCGGGGGGAGCGAGGATCACGGATCAGGGGGAGGGCGGCGGGAGGGGCCCGCCGAGGGGGAGAGCAGCGGAGGGGCATGAGGCTCGCCTCGGCCCTCGGCTCCTGCATTTGGGGGGGCGCGTGCCGTGGACACCCCTGCGTGGACGTCGTCCTCGCGGTCGTCGTCGTTGCACCCCTGCGTCGTCGTCGTCGTCGTCGTCGTCGTCGTCGTCGTCGTCGTCGTCGTCGTCGTCGTCGTCGTCGTCGTCGTCGTGGTCGCCGTCGTCGTCGCCGTCGTCGTCGTCGTCGTTGTACCCCTGCGTGGGTGCCTGGCGCGTCCCTCGACGAGCCACCTGGCCTTCGGTCGGGCGTGTCCCCCTACCGGCGGATTTTGGGCGTTTTTCCTCTTGCTTAAAGCATTAAAGTCAAACGTCTCACAAATACACATGATCCAACAAGCGTCCCCATAATGTGTATTGACTGCTTCTGCACATTCCTCCTGCAGAGGGACGTGCCCGACTCAAACCCGGCGAGAGCACGTGCCCGGGGCGGCCCGCGCGCCCGCCGGGCGGTGGGGGGCGCCCCTGCCTGGCGGGGGGAGGCCTCCGCGCGCGCCAAAAGGTCTGGGGGTTCGGTCGGGCACGTCCGCAGGGGCCCCGGGACACACGAATCCCGGGGAGGGGGAACGGGAGGGGGAGCGGGAGGGGGAGCCGGAGCGGGAGGGGCCCCGGGCACGTCCTCGAGGGGTCCTGCCGGCGGGCTCTGACGGGAGCCCGGGGACACACGAAGGAGGCGACACTTCTTTACCTGCGCGGGGGAGCCCCGGCAGCAAAGCGGGGGGGCGACGGCGCGGGGGCGGACGCGACGGAGAAAGCGCGGGGAGGGGGGAGGGGGAGGGCAGGGAAGGGAAGGGAAGGGAAGGAAGGGAAGGGAAGGAGGAAGGAGGAAGGAGGAGGAGGAGGTGAGGAGGAGGAGAGGAGGAGGAGGAGGAGAGAGGGAGAGGAGGAGGAGGAGGAGGAGGAGGGAGGAGGAGGAGGAGGAGGAGGAGGGGGAGGGGAGGGGAAGGGGGAGGGCGCCCCGCCCGCCCGCGCCCCCGCGCACCAGGGGCGGGGGCCGCGGCCAGGCAGGCGGCGGCAACGCAAACACGAACAGGGGACACACCTCCCTATCTGCTCCTCCTCCTTCTCCTCCTCCTCATCTGCTCCTGCTCCTCCCTCCTCCTCCTCCCTACTCCTCTCCTCCTCCTCCTCGCTCCTCCTCCTCTCCGCCCCTCCTCCTCTCCTCCTCCCTCCTCCTCTCCTCATCCTCCTCTGCTCTCTCCTGCTCCTCCTCCTCCTCCTCCTCCTCCTCCTCCTCCTCCTCCGCTCTCTCCCCCCACTCCTAGCCCTTTCGATCAGGGTCGGCGGCACCGGCCGTCAGGCCTCTCCAATAGACACACCTCCCAGGCTTCCCCCATATCTTCTCACATCTTCGGGGTGTTCGTCGTCCCCCCCCCCACTTCCCGTAGTTTCCCACATGTTCCGGGGGATCGACGGTGCATTGTGCCTGTGTGTTGTTCCCCCTCCTGAGGATGTTGAAAGAAAAATGAAAGATGGCACAACACATGCTCAAACATAGTCAGTATACTCGAAACATCGCCCCCTCGACTATATTTTGACCATACTTGCATATTCCTCCTGTAACAAGACATGCCCATCTAAGTTTAGGGAGAGGTCGAGAACGAGGGGGAGAAGGACCATCACAGGCGATTAGGGAAGGCCCGTGGCTAAGCCGACCCGACTCTTGATCAACACGTTGGGGTTGCCTCCGATCTCCACTTCTGTTCTCTTCGGCCTGCCTCTCGGCTCCTTCTTGGAGGAACTGGGCAGCAGGGTTTGGCAGGGGAAAGTCGAGAGGGGGAGGAGGAGGAGCAACACTAGAGAAACGAACAACTGCATAAACAAATACTCTTGACGGTCCGCGCGGATTTCTTGGATCTGCGCTGGACCTCCCTCCCTGGCGCGCGGAGCGCCCAAGTGGCGGCGACGGAGGCGTCTGCGGGGGGTCCCAGCGCAGCCACGAAATCCGCGCAGAGCGCCAAGTTTATGTTTATGTGTTTTCCGAGAAAGCGGAGAGGAGGATGCGCAACAGAAGGAGGAGGAGGAGGAGAAGAAGGAGGAGCAGGAGGAGGAGGAGGAGGAGGAGGAGGAGGAGGAGGAGGAGGAGCGGAGGAGGAGGGGAGGAAGAGGAGGAGGAGGAAGAGGAGCAGGAGGAGCGAGGAGTAGGCGGAGGAGGAGGAGGGGAGGAGGAGGAGGAGGGGGAGAGGAGAAGGACAAGGACAAGGGAGGAGGAGGCGGAGGAGGAGGAGGAGCAGGAGGAGCGAGGAGTAGGCGGAGGAGGAGGAGGAGGAGGAGGAGGAGGAGGAGGGGAGGAGGAGGAGGAGAGGAGGACAAGGGGAAAAGGAGGAGGAGGAGCAGAGGAGGAGGAGGAGGAGGAGAAGGAGGTGGAGGAGGAGAAGGAGGAGGAGGAGGAGGAGCGAGGAGGAGGCGGAGGAGGAAGAGGAGGAGGACGAGGAGAAGGAGGAGGAGGAGGAGGAGGAGGAGGAGGAGGAGGAGGAGGAGGAGGGAAAGACGCAGAGACGAGGGAGCGGCGGGAGGCCTCCGTCCTACCCCACCCCCCAAAAAAGCCTCGCTCATGGCCATGGCCACCTCGAGCCGCATGTCCGCGTCGGAGCCCACCGCGTACTGATGGGGCACCTGAGCGGACCGGGGCGGCAGAAGGCGAGGACCCTGAGATCCTGGCGGCTTAATTTTTGTCGGGCCGGGCGTTTCAGCTCAACGTCGGGCCCTGGGACCCTCACAGATCGATCCCGTTAGAAAACTGACGCAGAAAGATTGGGTCCGGGGGTCCAGTCGTGATTTTCTGCGGTGGTGCAATTTTTCCAACGTCGGATCTCGAAGGAGGAGCTGTGATGGGGAGGGGCATCTCGGGAATTTGGGGCAACGGCAGCTTCTCCTTGCATTTTGCTATTTTAACACCTCTTCGCGCCGGGCCACACGCGCCAACCACCGCAGCCGGCCTGCGCCGCCGCCTGCGACCCCAGGGCGCGCCCACACACATACACGAACTTTTTGGTCGTCTTCGTCGGCCGTCGTTTGTCGGTTGTCGTCGGTCGTTTGTCGTCGTCCTCGTCGTCGTCGTCCTCGTCGTCGTCCCCTCCCTCGGCGCCCCCGGCCCGCCCTTCTGGCCTCCCGCCGCTCCCGCTGCCCCCCACTTGCTGGGCTCCGCCCTGCACTGCGGCTGCGGGCTCCCCCCCGGGGGGCGCCCGCGGCGACGCCCCGCGCTCTCTGCCAGGGCGGGGGCCGGTGGTGCTCCGATGAGTGGGCAGGCGGAGGGGCCGGGTGCGGAGGGCAGGGGAGGGGGCGAACCCACAAGAGGACGCACGCGCCCGGCGATGTGTATGAAGGCACGGCCCCTCGGCCCGCGAGACCTGCCGCGCGACACGACCCCTCGCGCAGGGCGATCTCTCGAAGCCAGCGTGGATTCGTGAGCGTGTGCGTCCTTCCTCTCGCTCCCGAGTCTGAGGAGGGCCGGCCGAGACGACGGCGGTCCTCCTCCTGGCGCTTCTCCCAGGCCTCGGCCTGGACCTCTTCCTCCTCCTCCTCCTCCTCCTCCTCCTCCTCCTCCTCTTCCCTCCTCCCTCCTCCCTCCTCCTCCTCCTCCTCCTCCTCCTCCTCCTCCTCCTCCTCCTCCTCCTCCTCCTCTTCCCTCCTCGGCGGGGACCTCGGCCATGGTCGACCTGGACCTGGACTCGAGGCGCAGGTTGCCCTGGTCGAGGCACCAGGTTCGACCTCGACCAGGTCGACCCTGTAGGAACAAGGACAGGCGACACCAGCACCAACAGGGCGAGGAGATGCGCGGAGGCAAAGGGGGTCTCCCTGGTGGTGTGGTCCCCCCCTCGCGCTCGAGACATGCCCAGTCTCCCGCTCGGGGAGGCATTGTGGACCTCCTCGCTGGAGGTGGGCCCCCTTGTCCTGGGATGCTCGACCTTGGCCTGGGATGCTGTCCAGAACAGGAACGGCGGCCCTCCCTTGTGTGCGTATGTTCGTATTTGTTTGGCTCCCTGCCTCTCGTCCCCGCGGCTGGACCTCGAAAAACGGGTCTGGACCTTGGTGGGCCCCTGAAGCGGCAAGGCCGAGAATTCACTGTGTTCGAGAAAGCGTCTCCTGAACCTGGAAGCGGTATCAAAAAACGGCGGCCAAAAACAACAACAACAAACGGCTCCGGGAATGGAAATGGAACTGAAACCGAAAAGACGGCGCCGACGGAACCGGCAAACAAAAAGCGTCGGAACCGGTAACAAAAACGGCCCTGTCGTTTCCAGGGCGGAACTGACGGCGTGCTTGGTTATCGGTGCGGTTCGGAATCTTGTTTCTGTGACACCGGGCTCGCGCAAAACAAATGTAGGGAATCACGAAACACCGCTTCCTACATTTCAGATGTGCGGATGTATCGATCGAAAACGACACAGCGAGTTGTAGGAAAACGCGAATCACGCGTTCCAACAATTGGTTTAGCCACGAACCACGCCGTCCTACGATTGGATGTCCTACTTCGCCGTCAGCCCACACACAATCCGCGCGTCTACGACGCTTCCAGGGCCCACTGGGGTCAGGGACGATCCCCGGAAATCATCCGGGGACCGATTGTGACCCGAGGAGCGGGCAAGAAGAGGGGGCGGTGGCAGCCCCATGGCCCGCTGCTTGTGCGCGAACGAGGGGGAGGGGCCCAGGGCCCCGTGCTGGAGGGAGCCAGGGGCGCCACGGAGTCTGGGTGATCCGCCGGGTAGAGGATCGACCTCCAGGGCCAACGAAGAATGACAGAAAAGATAAAACTCGGAGGTCCGCGCGGATTTCTCGGATCGGCGCTGGAAGCCCCCCCCCCGGCACGCGGAGCGCGCCAGGGGCGGCGCCGGAGGGGCCGCCAGGGGGGTCCAGCGCGGATCCGAGAAATCCTCGCGGCCCTCCGTGTTTTTATGCTTATGTCATTCTCCGTTCCCCTAAAAATTGATGTATCCCAGAATTGATTTGCTCGTCGAACACGGTCAACCCGTATCATAATGAAGGATGCAAGGGCCTTGGAGGGCCATGTCGACACTTTGCGATCCGGGCGCAGCCATCGACAGTCGCTCAGGATGGGCCGACGGGGCGCAAGGATGCAAGGGTACCCTTCGGAAGGTGTCACATCCTCATCATGCGGGTTGACTGTACACAGAACGATGCGCAGAATGCTGATCGATCTAAGAGCATTCTACAAACGTTTCGTTGATTCGACGAACAAATCTAGTTTGGGGTACATCCATTCTGTGGCCGATCCACAACTCGCATTGTGTGGCCCTGGCCATGACGTCCAGAACCGTAATTACGCCAAGTGTCTGGTGGAAACTCATGAGAGCCTCCCATACCATCATGTCGGCTCTTGCGAATCGACGCTAGTCGCAAATCGACGCGAATCGACGCTGAATCGACGCTAATCGACGCTAAATCGACGCTGTCACGTCGACTCCCAGACGCTACAGTCATCGGCCTGACCTAAGGAACGATAAATAAGGAACGAAGCACTTGTTTCCCAAGGAATAACGCAAAAGGAACGGTAAATAATCAATAACGCATTCGGAACAATCGATAAGGCATGCAAACCGGAGGAACGACCGAGCCCCTTTCGAAAAGGAAGTGTTCCTCATTCGAGCCGCTCACTGCAATCGACGCTAATCGACGCAAGAGGCGGAATTGAGAGGGTACACCAGGCTCCCACGATTTGCTGCCGAACGCACCCCCTTGGACGCCCCCGCCATGCACCCGTCCACCCCACACACAGGTCGGGCTGCTGAACCAAGGAACGATACATGAGCAACGACACGCCTTTTCGACGCTTGTCGGCGCTAAATCGACGCTAACCGACGCTGAATCGACGCTATCCCATCGACTCCCAATCGCCAATCGACGCCACTCGACGCCAAAGACGGAATCAAAAGGGCATACCAGGCTCCCACGATCCGCTGCCGAGCCCGGCCCTTGGACGCCCCCGCCATGCGCCCGTTCCCACCCCCCACCAAAGGTCGGGCTGCTGAACCACAGAACGATACACATGAACAATGAAACGCCTTCTCGCCCAAGTCGCGCCATGAAATCCGAGGGCACGGCCGTAGAAGCCGAAGGAGCACCGAAGGGGCTCGCCACCAAAAAAGCCACGCACCAGAGCTGGACCTAAACGATGTTGTTCGTTTTGCTTTCGTATTGTTGTTCGTTTTGCTCTACCTGTTTCCCCGTGTCTCCCTGCAAAAACGAAAAACAAAACACAGCCGAAGTCCAACAAAACAACGTTTAGGTCCAGCCCTGCCACGCACCGCCCCCCCACAGAGGTCGGGCTGCTGGACCAAGGAACGATACAAGAAGGAGCCACGAGACGCCTCCTCGCCCGAGCCGCGCCGTGAAAAGCCGAAGGCGGCGCGGCTGCGGAAGGCGAAGAAGCACCCCGAAGGGGCTCGCCACCAAAGAAGCCACGCACCGCACGCAAACGCAAGGAACCACCGTAGCGGAACAAAAAGTGGCATGAACATACAAACTCGGAGGTCCGCGCGGATTTCTCGGATCGGCGCTGGACCCCCCTCCCTGGCGCGCGGAGCGCGCCAAGGGCGGCGCCGGAGGCGCCGCCGGGGGGCCCCAGCGCCGATCCGAGAAATCCGCGCGGACCTCAGAGTTTTTATGTTTATGCCACTTTTTGTTTACCTACACCAGGCCCCTGCCGGCCTCGAAGTCTCTTGGACGCTCCGTGTAGGGGGCCACGTGCGAACCCTGCCCCGACCCCCCCCACGAGTTCGGAGGGGGAGGCTGGGGTTTTCACTTCGCTCGGGAACTCCCGAGCGAAGTGAACCCCACCCTGCCCCTCAGAAGTCGTGGGGGGTCGGGGCAGGGTTCGCATGTGGCCCCCTACTCGCCACCAAAAACTCGCCATCGCTCGGACGTCCATTCCCCGTGTTTTTGTTCGGTCTCGTGCGTGTTTTGTTCGCCACACGGTCAAGGATGCTCCTCGATGGCCCTCGCCGAAGGAAACACGCACACGTCCGAGCGATGCCAAGAAAAAGCCACGCACCGCACGCAAACGCAAAGCAACCGCCAGGCCCCCTCCGCCCTCGAAGTCCCTTGGACGCTCCCGGGCCACACGAGACGCACCGGCCCCGTCCCCGCGCTGCCGGGCGGCGCCCGGGGTCCGCCTCCTTCAGGCCGGCGAAGGACACGGCGAACCCGGAGCCCGTGGAGCGCCACTCCTTCGGCAGCCCAGCCAGGATGAACATCGCTCTCTCTCTTCTTTTTTTTTTTTTTTTGATTTTCTCTCTCTCTCTCTCTCTCTCTATCCATCCATCTCTCTATCTCTCGCCCTCTCTCTATCTCTCGCTCTATCCTTCTCTCTCTCTCTCTCCCTCTATCCCTCTGTCCATCCCTTTCTCTCTCTCTCTCCCTCTATCTCCATCCCTCTCTCTATCTCTCGCCCTCTCTCCCTCCCTCTCGACCTCCTCTCTCTCTCTGTCTTTCAGATGTTGTATCTCTCTCTCTCTCTCTTTCTCCCTATCCATCTCTCTCCCTCTCTCTCGTTATCTCCCTGCCTTTTTCTCTCTCTATATTTATGTATATCCTCTCTCGCTGTATATCTCCCTCTCCCTGTCCTCCGTGTATCTCTATTTCTCTCTCTCTCTCTCTCTCCCTGTCTTTCTTTCCTGCTCTCTCTTTCTCTCTCCATCTCTCTCTCTGCCTGTTTCTTGCACTGCCTTCGACGAGGCCCATCGAGAATTGAAGTTCATGCTTAGATCTCTCCCAGACATCGGATATTGGGCTGACCAGCGCCCAGGCTCACACCCAGCCGCAGCGGCAGGAGTCGACCCACGGCTGCCATGGAACGCAGAGAAAGCATCAAATGCTCTTGGCCAGCTGGAGTTCCACGCGTGTTCAGGGCAGGGCTTCGGTAACAAATCATGAGAGCCTTGTGAGTCCGAAAAATTCCGCCCTTAGAGGGTATGAGCGGGCACTAGTGTTTGGTCCTTGATGCCGGTTTAGCGCCGACGTGCGTCGATGCATCATCGACCGTGTTCGGTAAGCGTCGGAGCCAGCGAGATGACATGGGAGGCCCCCGTGAATGTTCAAACACATGATGTACAACCACGAACACCAACCTGGGAGCGCAGGTGGGCAGGACTTGCGAGAAAGAGGTCAGGAGGAGGATTCAAGCATGGCGTCTCATCGGCCACCGTGCCGCAAGTCAAGAGCTGGAGTGTTCTCAGGACCCCTTTGGTCCTCTGTCCTGAGCCCTCGGGGTTGAATAATCTACGACGCCTACGGCGATTCACCGCCGCCCCCTGCCTGTTGGAAATGCCCGTGCGGCCAAGCGTTGGGCAAAAGTGTGCCAACGCTACTGGACACGGTGTTCCCCCAGCCGTCGTGGAACCCATCAGGGGAACAATGTGGAGAGGAATGGAAAGGAGGAGAGGGAGGGGAAGGAGGAGAAGGAGGAGGAGGAGGCCTCTTGAGGCCTTCTGGGGGCGTCCTGGGAGCCCATCGGGGGGCTCTGAGGGGTCTCTTGGGTGCCTCCTGGGGGTTCTGCTGGCGCCTCTTTAGGAAGTCTTGGGGGCCTCTCGGTGACCGCTTCGCCCTCGGAGGCCGTCTTGGGGCTCGCTTGCGGGCCGCCTTGGGGTCTCTGGGGCCGCCCTGGGGGTGGCCTCTTCGCGGCCCCTCGGCCTGTCGTGGGGCGAACTTGGGGGCCGTAGGGCCCGTCTGGGAGCGTAAACAAAAAAACAAGTAACACCGAGAGCGCTGAGATTATGAGAAACCTTGGAAGCATCCTTGACGTTGGCTTCGGGACTCTCTTGGGGACATCTTGGCCTTCGGAGGGTCCTTCTTTGGGCGCTATTGGGCCGTCTTGGAAGTCTCTGCGGCCGTCTTGGGGCCGTCTTGGGGCCTCTTGTGCTGTCGTGGGTCCCTCTTGGGCCGTCTTCGGCTTGCGGTCCTCTTGGCGGCCTCTTGGCCAGTCTTGGGGCGATCTTGGAGGCCCCTGGGCTCATCTTGCAGCGTCGCATGGCCGAACAGGCGAGAGAAAGCCAGAGCCACTGAAACACGACGCGGGAATCAAAGCTTCTGGCCTCCTGTAGGACCTCCTGGGAGCCCTCTTGGGCCGCATGGGGAACGTCTTGGGCCGTCTTGAAGCCCCCGCGGCGCGCCTGAAGCCGCAGCTGCAAACTGGGGCCGTCTGCGGCCCTCGCTCCGGCCGTCTGCGCAGTCTTCCGCCGGCCTGCCGCCCGCGGCGGGGGCCAGCTTTGGAGGGGCCCGCCCCCCGACGAATCCCCCCCCAGATGTAGATTGGGAGGACCCCCCCCAGATCTGGAGGGGGCCATACTGGGAGGCTCCCCCCCACCAGATCCTCCAGGGGAGCACGAGCTGGGACCCCCCTCCGCAGGGTCGGAGGAGGAGGAGGAGGAGGGAGGGAGGGAGGAGGAGGAGGAGGGAGGGAGGAGGAGGAAGAGGACGAGGAGGCGGAGGAGGGAGGGGAGGTGGAGGGAGGGGAGGAGGAGGGAGGAGATGGAGGAGGGAGGAGGAGGAAGGAGGAGGAGGAGGAGGAGGAGGAGGAGGAGGAGGAGGAGGAGGAGAGGCGCCGGGGCCCACGGAGAAAGAGAGGAGGCCTCGCCCCTGCAGCGCCGCCCCCCCCCCTCCCAGGGGCCCCCGGGGGCCGCGCCCGGGGATCCGCGGCCCGCGAGAGCCGCAGAGGCGGCAGGCCGCGGGAGCGCGGGGCAGCGCAGAGCCCACCGCGCACTCGGCGAGGGGCCCTAGGACACACAAGTAAATACGCACAAATAACAGGCTTCCCCCCCCACATTTTCTCATATCTCCTGGGTTTCTGTCTTCCCCCCCACTTCCCACGAGAGTGGGGGTTAACCAAACAGAGCTCTCCATAAAAACACGTCGCTGAAACACGTCGCTAAAACACGTCGCTGAAACACGTCGCTGAAACACGCCGCTAAAACACGTCGCTAAAACACGTCGCTAAAACACGTCGCTAAAACACGTCGTTACAACACGTCGCTAAAACTCGGCACTGCAGAAGGTTGTCGGGGTGGGGAGTTGGCTTGTTGTCCGCTTGCAATCCCGACAGCCCTCTGGGCGTAAGTGGTTCAGCCAACTGCGTCTTCTTACTGCTCAAAAATCCTCCTTCCTCTGCTCGGGGTAGGACCCCCTCCCCTGGGCCTGGAGGGAGCGGGCCGCGAGGCGTCAAAGCGTCCTTTTTGGCCCAAGATGGCTCCAAGAGGGCCTCCGAGAGCCCAAGGGGCCTCCAAGATGGCCCACGATAGCTCAATATGGATCTAGATAGCCTCCGACACGCATCTAAGAGGACCCCAGACGGCCCCAAGGTGGTTTCCAGTGCCCTCCGAGCCCTCCAAGGACCACCCCCCCCCCCCCAAGAGGCCAAACATCCTTCACACATTTCAAGAAAATCAATGTTTTGTGGCCTCTCGCTTTTTCGCCTCCGATGGGCTCTTGAGGCCTCAAGATGGCCCCAAGATGGCCCAACCCCCTCTTTTTGATGATCTCCACGCCACCACCCCCCAGTGGTGGTGGTGGCGTGGTTCTAGTGACGTAATTCTAGTGACATGTTTCTAATAACGTGTTTCTAGTGACGTGTTTCCAGTGACGTGTTTCCAGTGACGTGTTTCCGGCGACGTGTTTCCAGTGACGTGTTTCCAGCGACGCGCTTCCAGTGATGTGTTGTTCTAGTGACGCGTTTCTGGTGACATGTTTCTCGTGACGCGTTCGCGCTTTTCGCGACGTGTTTTAGCGACGTGTTTTAGCGACGTGTTTTAGCGACGCGCGTTCCAGCGCCGCGTTTCCTGTGACGTGTTTCCAGAGACGTCTTTCGAGTGACGTGTTTCGAGCGGCGTGTTTCGAGCGGCCTGTTTCGAGCGGCGTGTTTTAGCGACGTGTTTTAGCGGCGTGTTTTAGCGGCGTGTTTTAGCGGCGTGTTTTAGCGACGTGTTTTTGGCACCGCCGCAGCCACGACTCCGACGGCGACTGCGACCACCACTGCGACCACGACTACGACCACTACGACGACCACCACCACCACTGCTGCACCACCACGGCTACGACTCCTACCACTACTACCACCACCACCACCACCACTGCTGCATCTACTACTACCACTGCTACTACCACTACGACCACCACTCCTACTACCACTACTACCACCACTCCTACTACCGCTACCACCACCACTCCTACTACCACTACGACCACCACTCCTACTACCACTACGACCACCACTCCTACCACCACTCCTACCACCACTCCTACTACCACTACGACCACCACTCCTACTACCACGACGACCACCACTCCTACTACCACTACGACCACCACTCCTGCTACCACTACGACCACCACTCCTGCTACCACTACTCCTACTACCACTACTCCTACTACCACTACTCCTACTACCACTACTCCTACTACCACTACTCCTACTACCACTACTACCACCACTACTACCACCACTACTACCACCACTACTATTTCCACTACTCCCGCAACCTCTACAGGCTCTACAGCGACGTGTTTAAGCGACGTGTTTTAGCGACGTGTGTTTAACGACGTGTTTTTACGGATACCAGCTCTGTGTGGTTAAACACGTCTTCTGTTTGGTTAACTTACCCCGTTACTTCCCACATTTTCCTGTATTTTCTGGGGGATCGACGATTCATGGTGTCTGTATATTTTTCTCCTCCTGAACTCGGGGAGGGCGGGGCCTCGGCGGGCCGCGGAGGGGGGCCCTGTCGGCCCGTGCAGCGGGGGCGCGCGTCGAGAGACTGGCTCTGCTCCTCGTCAGGGTGCCCTGGGTCTTTTTTTTCCCCCCTCTAACCCACGGACAGGAGGACGCCGACCCACTCCGCAGACCAATGGCAACCTCACCGTGCCCGTGAGGCGGACCCCGAGGTCCGGCCAGAACAACCCAGCGGACAGCAAATCGTGTCGGCCACGCTCGATACTGGGTCAGGGTACCCAAGGTGCTTTTCGTCAGGGTGCCCTGGGTCTCTTCGCGCCGCGCGCTGCCTGGTGGCTTCCCGTGGCCGTGGAAGGAGCTGCTGCACTCCGGGTGCTCTGGGCTCCCCCGAGTCGCATCTCGCGCCTGCGGATTTCGGGGCGGGGTTTCTCGCGAGGGTTTCTTGCGGCTGCGCCCGCACTGTATCCTAGAGCTGCGCGATAAGGATGTAGGGGCCTGGAAGGGCCATTGCGAGGATTTTCGAGCGGGGCGCAGCCAGCGACAGTGGCCAAGGATGGGCCGAGGAGGCAAGGATGCAAGGGCACCCTTGGGAACGTCGCTGATCCTTACTGTGCGGGTCGACTGTACTGCGTACGGCAAGTTCGTCTCGTGCCGACCCTGGCGTTTGTTTCTGACACCGCGCTGGATCGCTCAACCTGGAACGATCGGACGTGTCCGAAACGTCAAATCTGTTCAAACTTCGACCGATTCTGGTTCGCTGGCGGCGGGCGCTCAACGCTGAAGACTGGCAGCGGAGTCGCCGCAAATCGACACGGCTCGAACCTACCGTAACTGGGCCTCGGCTTCGGACGTGGGACGCGGAGCTTTTTTGACCTGCTCCTACCATGTGTAACCTCCCTCTCGCCTCTGAACGCCTGGCGCACGCCATGGACTGAAAGGCATTCAGCTTCGACCCGAAACCAGAAAAGTCCGCCCGCGTAGTTTGGCTTCCGATGCGTAATTCTACGTCGTCGTCGTCGTCCCCAACGTCCCCATCGTCGTTATGTTCGTTGTCGTCGTCGTCCCCATCGTCGTTATGTTCGTCGTCGTCGTCGTCGTCGTCGTCGTCGTTGTCATTGTCGTTGTCGTCGTTGTCGCCTTCGCCATGGTCGCCGCCGCCGTCGCCGTTCTCGTCGTCGTATCGCGTTCCCCCCCCCGGAACTCCATGGGGCAGCTCCATAAACGTTCCAGACCACCGTGCGGGGTGCTCCGAACGGGGGGCCCAAAGACAGAAGCCGTCCTCCCCCCCCATCCCCCCTAGCTTTCAGTCGGGCCGGTCCCTCTGCAGGAGGAATATTCAAACATAGCACCAAAAAATATTCAGAGACGATTGTTTGAGTATTTCTGGATACTGTTAAGATAAGTTTTGCCTATGTTTGATTCTTGGTTCAAAATCCGCCTGTAGGGGGACATGCCCCACCTCCCCCTAGCTGAGGGGAGGCGAAGCCGGGGGACGGGCTCAGGGCAGGGGAGGGGGGGGCAGCCTCGAACCCTGGCGATGCCTCGCCAGCAGACCGTCGGCAGGACCCCGAAAGCGACTCCGCGCGCTCCTGGAGCACTGTGGGCGGTCGGGCCCCCATCGGCGATGACTGGGCGGCTGGGGCCCGATGCCACCCCCCCCTATCGCCGATTCGAACGCACGTGCGATCGGTGCAAACGTGCGCCCCGAGAAGACAGCGGTCTGTAATGCTCGATCGGCTGTCGTTTCTACACGTGTGCAGCCGCCGTCAGCTGCGACGAACCGCCCCCCGGGCCCCTTACCACCCTGTCTGGGTAAGGGTGCGGGTATCTTTCGCGCTCGGGAATCATGGCCCACGCCATATCCACCCCCACCCAGTCATCACCCCCCGCTTTGCCAGCCCCTGACCCCCCCCCCCACCCCGACCGCGCCTCTCCCCCCCGGGCCTCTCGGGCCCCATCGGCGACGACTGGGCAACTGGGGCCCGATGCCTCCCCCGCCCCCGCCCCCAACCGAGCCGGCGCCCCCCCCAGGAGGAGGAGGAGGAGGAGGAGGAGGAGGAGGAGGAGGAGGGGGAGGAGGAGGGAAAGGAGGAGGAGGAGGAGGGAGGAGGAGGGAAGGAGGAGGAGGGAGGAGGAGGAGGAGGAGGAGGAGGAGGAGGGAGGAGGAGGGAGGAGGGAGGAGGAGGAGGAGGAGGAGGAGGAGGAGGAGGAGGACCCAGGCCAGGGGAACGCCCCCGCAAGTGCAGGAGGCCCTCCCCCCGTCGGCCCGCGCGGGCAGGGACCTCGGAGGGCACGCCCTGCCCAGGGACGCACGGGGAGGCCCAACGGACACGAAGCACACCACGGCGCACGCCCCCGAAGCCACCGCGACCTCCTGCCTGGGCAGGAGGCTGCAGCGCTGCCCCCGACCACCCCCCTGGGACTCCTTCGGGCTGCACGGCGCGCCGGCGGGCCAACACCCTCTCCTGCCGCCTGGCTCCGGCAGAGGCCTCCTGGATGGGGTCCGAGCAGATGGGGTCGGAGGATCGCGCCGCATCGCCGATGCATCGGCGATGCCAGGCATCGCCGATGCACCAGCGACGCATCGTGGACGTCGGCGACGCACCGGCGACGTCGGCGTGAAGCAAGTCGGGCTCCGCATCGAGCCGCATGCGTCGGTGATGCGGCGCGATCTTCCGACCCCATCTACTCCGACCTCATCTCGGAGGCCTAGAGACTGCAACGCTGCCCCTGATCATCCCAAGGACCCCCTTCGGGCTACACTTAGGTCGGGCATGTCCCCCTACGGGGATCTTGGACGAGCAATAGAGCATGCACAAAAATACCCCCAAATGGTCAAACTGTTACACAAAAAACTCACCTGACAAGTCTTTGGCTATTTTTGAATATTCCTCCTGTAGAGGGACAGGCCCGACTTAGGCTTAGATCTGAGGAGGAGGAGGAGGAGGAGGAGGAGGAGAAGCAGGAGGACGAGGAGGAGGGAGGAGAAGGAGGAGGAGGTAGGAGAAGGAGGAGGAGGAGGAGGAGAAGAAGGAGGAGGAGGAGGAGGAGGAGGAGGACCCCCTTCGGGCCGACGTCCGCTCGCGCCTCCAATCCCTGGGGGCGGCCGGGCGTCCTCGCCCAGGCGGTAGGGGCGGAACCAGTCGACCTCCGACGTGATCGCCTCCGCGGCGCCAGGGCTCCGCGCCCCGGGGCGGGCGCCCGGGGGCCGCAGGTGGACAGACTAAACATAGGAGTGGCAGGGGGGGACCTTTTCCTCCTCCTCGTCGTCCTCCTCCTCCTCGTCGTCCTCCTCCTCCTCCTCGTCCTCCTCCTCCTCCTCCTCCTCGTCCTCCTCCTCCTCGTCCTCCTCGTCCTCCTCCTCTTCCTCCTCCTCCTCCTCCTCCTCATCTTCTCCTCCTCCTCCTCCTCCTCCTCCTCCTCCTCCTCCTCCTCCTCCTCCTCCTCCTCCCCCATGCGGGATGACTGTAGGTCCGTCAGTCTTTCAGGATGCACTCCGCGCCCGCGGCCGTGCTGGAGCGCGCGGGAGCGAGTATGTTTATCCCAGCTAGGGGAGGGAGAGGGCGGGGCGGGCGCCTGCAGCCCGGGGGCCTGGCGAGCAGCTCCCCCATACCTCCGCGATGTGAGCTTTCCAACCCCGGCCTTTTTCAAAGGGGCCCAGGGACACACACATAGATACAGATCACGGGATTCCCCATGTTCTTTTCCTGTATTTTCTGCGTTTTCGTCTCCCCCACCCACTTCCCATAGTTTCCCATATCTTCCTAGGAGTCGACGGTGATGCATTGTGTCTGTGTGTTTCTTTCCCTCCTGAAAGCTGGCAACCGCGACGAGAGGCACAGCAGACATCGGGAGGCAACTCCTGGGAAGGAAGGGACAAGATAATCCGCCCCCATGAGAATCGGGGGCGCGCAAACATGGATTAGCGATCCATGGATTTGGCGCGCAGTCGCCAAATCCATGGATCGGGGGAGGTGCCCTCCCCAAAATGCGGCCGGTTCCAGCTCGCTCGGCGGCGGAAATCCACGATTTCCCATGGAAACGGGACCGTCGCTAATCCACGCCCCTTTGATCCATGTTTGCGATCGCCTGAGAGAAGCACCTCGACAAGCGTAGTAAAACTCCTGAGAGAAGCATCTCGAGAAGCACCTCGCCAACTCCTGGGACAGAAGGAAAAAAATAATCCCCCCCAGGAGAAGCACCTCGACAAGCTTAGTAAACACACCCAATGATGGAGTCGAACAGGGCACGGCTGTTCAGTAAACGCCCAAGAGGCCGTTTTGTAAACGACAGTTACCAGGGTCGGGGTGTCTGTTCCTCCGTTGCGAGGTCTTCGTAAAAACGATGAACGGCCAGCACGCCCGATTGAGGGACCATTACGCTTAAGTCGGACATGTCCCTCTACAGGAGGAATACTCAAACATAGAAAACAAATAGTCTGGGGGCGATTTTTGAATATTTGCTGGACTACTTTTGGATACTCATCGAATGTTTCCGATCTGTCGTCCAGGAATCCCCCTGTAGGGGGACATGCCCGACCTAACATTACGCCAGGTAAGGCCTGATTCAGCCGAGGATAAAGACGAATGAAGCGGGATTGAGCAAGATTCGACGGTGACCATCTGGATTGGGCCGGTCTTCGACCCAAGCAGTACCAGCGCCGATGCGGCATTCAACGTTCCAGGAATTGCAACCCAACATGCCTCACCCTCCCCCAAGGCTCGTGAGGGGCGCGCCGCAAGTCCACTCTCGATCACCCACGATCGAGGCCCGCGTCAAGCCGATCTCCCCGCTTAGCGCAGGATCTCGCCTTGGGCCTGGCCATGCTGCAGGCAGGGGACCTGGGGCCCTGGGCCTGGCCATGCTGCAAACCAGGTGCCGGTTCTCGCTGCCTGCCTGGGCCTGGCCTGGTTCGGCTTAGACCTGCATGCGCAGCCTTGCGGTGTGTGCGGCCTGCGTCGAAGGGGCGAAGACGGAAGCTGCTGCTCTCCTCCTCCACTCCTGGGGGCCTGTCCTCCGACGCGCTGGTGAAGCTCAGCCACCGGCTGTTCTGGTGTGGGGGTGCCACCAACGATGCTCAGCATCCGTGAGAGGCAGCTTCGATAACCCTGCGACCCCCGAGCAGCAGGGCAGACCAAGCCAGGCGCACGCGCAAGGACCCATTCTTTGACCATTCCCGATGCCGCCCGTGACCGGCCCCGCCCCCCTCCCCCCGTCACGTCACGATTCGCCCTGGCGCCGTCTGCGCAAGCGCGAGTCGTGACGCTGTCGGCCCACGCCCGTCATCGCCAGAGGATGCAAACGAGCCCCCAGGACAGGGTGACAGAGAAGAGGAGGCATGCGAGGACAAACGGCTGGGCAAAGGAAGGGGGGGCGAACCACTTCCGCACGCGCGCGGGGGAGAGAGCCCATCCAGAGCCTGGCGGCAGCCACAATGCAACAACGTAGCCCTGTCGACGGGCATTCCGCCTGAGCTAACGTGGCTTGATGGTGGGAGGATGATCGGGGGGGGGAAAGAAACGTGCACCTTTCGTGCCCCTTTTGAGCCGCAGGGCCTCCCTTTAGGGCCCCTAACAAGGTGCACAAGAGGTCAGAATCTCTTCATACCCCCCCGCATGCACCGGCCCCCCTTGCGCACCGCCCGACTGGGCGGAAACATGCTGATCTCCGAGATCCCGACCCCCCCCGTCCGGCAGGTTGGTGTCCGCGACGATATAGTGCGCTGCTCCCTAACAGCGCGTAGACTGTGCCATCTTGAACGGTCGCGGCCTTCCGAAAGCGGGGCCCGTTCAGCGTCAGCCCCCCCGTCTGGCAGGTTGGTGTCCGTGACGATATAGTGCGCTGCTCCCTAACAGCGCGTAGACTGTGCCATCTTGAACGGTCGCGGCCTCCCGAGAGCGGGGCCCGCTCAGCGCCAGCCGCCGCGGGGCCGCCGGGGACGGTCCACCTGGAGCGCCCGCGCTGTGGGCGCCGCCGCGCCGACACCTCGGGAACTTGCGGCGAGTGTGTGTGTGGGTGTGTGTGTGTGTGTGTTTGTGCGCGGCGCGCTTGTCTGCCTCACGCCTGCCCACAAGCACGTTGCTCCCATCGTACTGAAGGAGACCACATCCCAGAAATGAACTTCGAGCACCCGGAAAAAGGGTCGAAACGGCGTCGAGGCAGTGTCGAGGCAGTGTCGACACAGTGTCGAACGAGAGTCTCCCAGGGCCCGACGCGTGAACACCTTCGAAGTGCGGTGCTCTTTTGGTGCTCGAGATGACGTCTCGTGGTCCGGGCTAAAGTAGGCTGGAGCATCACGAGCCCACAAGGAGACAAAGGGCCGAGGGGAGAGCGGGCGTGCCTTGACGGGGGGCCGCAGAGCGCGCCGCTCTTCTGGCACAGGCTCTCGGCCCGCGGCGGCAGTTCGGGGGGGGCCGTGCACTGGCCATCGCTCGGACGCCCATTTCCTGTGTTTTGCTCGGTTCCGTGCGTGGCTTTCTCACCAAATGATCAGGGGTGCTCCTCGATAATCCTCGCCGAAGAAAAATGCACACGTCCGAGCGATGCCAAGTGCACGGAAGAAGCCAACACGACCTCCGCGTCAGCTTCGGGGGCTCTGCGCGGAGTGCCAAGCCTGCGGCGAGGCCCCGCGGTGCCTCGGGGGGCGCGGCCGCCAGGAGCCGCGGGGCGCTGGCGCCAGGCGAGGGCTCGCGCGACGGGGGCTTGTCGAGCGTTGCCAACCAACTCCCCCAGAAGAAGAAAAAAAATATAAACATCAGCTTCTGGCTTGTGGCGTGTTTCCCTCCTCTTCGAGTGCATGTCCCTTCGCGTCTTCTTTCCTGCAATCCTCTCCGAAGCGGCCAGGAGGGGGGTGTCCAAGAGGGGGGGGTGCAAATCATGACCGGCGGCATGTGCGCGGCCCAGCGGGGGGGCCAGGGACGTAATGAAACAAGAAGAGGCGCCATGAAATCTGGGGAAATATCATGGCCCCCGCCATGATATCCACCCCCCCCTTAGTCATCACCCCCTCTCTTTTCCGCCCCCGATCCTCGATCGCCCTCGCTTACGGACCCCGGCTGCGACGGGCCGCCTGCAGAACGAGGCATGGGGCCGGGAGGGGCTCGGCGGGGGTGCCCGCCGGAGCCCGCCAGGGGGCGAGCTCGTGGTGGCGCTGCAACGGGGGGCCCCGGGGCCGCGGCCGCCCGGACATGCACTGCGCGTGCCTGCAGGGCAGAAGGACTACACCCTGTGAAATGCTTAAGAAATCATGGGTTCAGAAATTCACACTCTCAGAACTTGAATAAAAACCCAACATTCCTATCAAAATCTTAAGGTTTGCATTGAAACGTTAAGAATAATCGACACTCTGGCCGAAAACTTGGGTTTTCTTAAGCATCGCCTAAGGTGTACAGTCAAAACGTATAGCAAGGACGCGAGGCAGGGACGCAAGACCCTTGGAGGCCGGAGTTGGGATTTTTTGGGCGGCGGGCGACCAGTGAAGGACGAGCCTCAGAGGCAAGGACACAAGGGTACCCTAGATGAAGGCGCGCGTCCTTACTAGGCGCTATGACTGCACCCTCAAAATATGCACCCAGACAGGCGAAGCCGTTCAGCAAACGGACCCAAGGAAGGACTCAAACGAGACAAGGCTTTGCAGAAAACGCCGAGGGCCGTTCAATCAACGCCAGTGAGGGGGATCGGGGTGTTGTTGCCTCTCGTGATTGTACGCCTGCGGTTTGCCTTTTTCGCTTCTCGGAAAGATGGTGTTGTCTCTCTCGGCTTTGATGTGGTAGCGCCCGCAGCTAGCTCCCTCAAACATGTGCCAGGGTGGCTCGAGGCCTGTCGAGTTTGGGACGGGGCTTGGGTGCCGTCATCATCACCTAATTGGAAAGGCCTTGACTCATAAATAACAGAGACAGCTGCTGCTGCGAAGTCGCATGTGATCTCGCTGCGGTATCCAAATCTGGTATTGGAGGGTCACCGTTTAATGAAACCAAACTGACGGCACAATCACAAACTCAAGGTCAGCGTGTTAACGGAAAGCACCAAGCGAGCCAAAGGAGAGAGGGATACATCATATCCACACGGCTTAACAACCTGGCATGCGTGTGCATAGTTTGTCGGCGTGTGCTTGCATGCGGAATTGTTTGCGAGAGCGGGTGCGCGAACGCATATGTGAGCGCGTGCGTGTGTGTGCGCGTATGTGTGTACATGTGTATACTTTGCCTGCCCCAACCCATGATCACAGAGCGCGGCATCAAAACTGACGCGCCCCAGCTGCTTGAGGACCGGCCGACATGTTCCTGCCGCTTGCGCCTGTGATCTGTGCGTGTGGAACCGCTTGTCCAACACGCACGCGGGGAGCGGGGGACGCGAGCGGGCGGGGCTAGGACCGGGACAACTCGTTCCAGAGCGTTCCAGAATGCTCTCAGGACGTTCCAGAGCGTTCTGTCAGATGTGTCCCAGTCTGATTGTAGTCCCAATCTTGACCTCGTCGTAAGGGGAGGGCGCGGGCGTGCGCGTCCCCACTCCTCCCACGGTGCTTCTCCCACGGGTCGCGGTCCGCGCGCCTTCGGCCGAAGCGCGTCCGAAAGGCACCACCTCTCAATGTGCCGGGAGCTCCCCACCGGCCCCGGCAGCCGAAGCCCCCTCTCCTCCTCCTCATCCTCCTCCTCCTCCTCCTCCTCCTCCTCCTCCTCTCCTCCTCCTCCTCCTCCTCCTCCTCCTCCTCCCTCCTCTCCTCCTCCTCTCCCCCTTCTTCCTCCTCCTCCTCCTCCTCCTTCTCCTCCTCCTCCTCCTGCTCCTCCTCCTCCTCCTCCTCCTCCCCCTTTCCAAGCCGCTCCTCGATGCGCACCGCGGCGAAGCGCACCCTGTCGAAGACGTCGCCGATGGGCGAGCTTGCCGCAGGTCCCCCTCTCCGCGCCTCGCAGAGGGCTCTGTGCGCTCGGGCTCTCCGCTCCTTCGCCTCATGGACCCGCTCTTCCTCGTCATCCTTGTCAATCGGGAGCGGCCAAGAGGGGGATGTCCAAGAGGGGGGGGGGTGCAAATCATGACCGGCGGCATGTGCGCGGCCCAGCGGGGGGGCATGGGACGTAATGAAATCAGAAAAGGCGCCATGACATCTGCGGAGATATCATGGCCCGCGCCATGATATCCCCCCCCCCCTAATCATCACCCCCCTCTTTTCCGCTCCCGAGTCAAGCAGCCGTGTGTGGCCCCTGACCGTGCGTGCCGGAAAATTGAGAGCCGGCTGGGGGGCAGACTGTGAAGGATGCCTGCAGCCAAGTGAACCCTGCGGGGGTGTCCGATAACCAAGCGTCGATTGGACCCATAGCGGTAGGTATCTCAAGTCGTCGAAGACTCGTCCTCCTTCCCCTCGTCGAATCATGCCTGGCGAGTGCATCAACTTGTTCCGAGAGCCGCCGCCGGGGTTGCAGCGGGTGATGCGGGCGTGTGCCTGTCTGTCTGCGTCAATCACTTGAATATTTCGTTGGGTCCGGTTCTTGCAAAGCAGCAGGCAATCTTCCCCGACGCATCCAATCCTTCAACACTCCCTCGAGCTGTGCTCGGCGGGGCTGGCAGAACAGAGAACGTAATATCACACGTGCTGGAACGCCCCATCGACACCCTCATCCTAATCGTGTCCATCCTATTCATCACCATCATCAACACCACCATCAGACAGCATCATCAACATCAACATAATCGACAACGTCGTCATCATCATCCTCATCCTCCTCCTCCTCCTCATCATCATCATCCTCATCATCATCACCACCAACATCAGAATCACCAATCTTACCATCTTCATCAACCCTACCATCGTCATCATCATCGTCATCATCAACACAATCATCCAGTACGTACCGTGCGTGCCTGCTCGGGCGGGCGGGACATGACAAAACAGCCGCAACGGGCGTGTCGGGCCGGGCGGACTGGACATAAAACGTGTCGTTGTCATCATCGCCCCCATCAACGTCATCGTTGTGATGAACATCGTCAACAGAAACGTTAGCATCATCAACATCGCCATCGTCATCGTCATCGGCATCGTCGGTATCGCCGGCATCGTCATAATCACCACCATCAGCATCCCCATCATGGTCGTCATCATTATCATTATCAACATCATCATCATCGTCATCCTCGTCACCACCACCATCCTCATCGTCACCGTCACCGTCACCGCCATCGTCGTCGCAATCATCATCATCATCACCATCATCACCATTATCACTATCATCATCACTGTCATCATCATCCTTATCATCATCATCATCATCATCATCATCATCAGCATCATCATCATCATCATCATCATCATCATCATCATCATCGTCGTCATCATTTTGATCATCATCATAATTATGGTTACAATCATCCTGCTTACCAGTACCGCCATCGTCATCGTCGTCGTCGTCGTCATCATCATCAGCATCACCATTTCCATGGTCATCATCGTCGTCCACCGTCGTCGTCCTTATCATTCGTCGGCGTCGTGGTGGTCGGCATCGTCGTCGTCGTCGCCCATCGTGGTAGTATAGTCATTCGTCGTGTCTTCGACGGCAACGTCGTCGTTTTCGTCGTCGTCGTCGTCGTCGTCGCCGCCAGCGCTGGCGCTGGCGCTGGCACCCGCCGTCGTCGTTTGCCACTTGCGAATGCGGGGGGCGGTTCGAACCCCCCCCTCTTGGAAACAGGGGAGGAGGGGGGTTCTAACCCCCCCCCCCTTTTCCATTCAAGGGGGGGCGGGGCCCCAATTCGAACCGCCCCCCTTCCAAACCTCCAAAAAACGCGCTCTTTCTTATGTTGATGTGCTTGCAGGACTGGAGTGTTTGGTATGATGTCGACATGCGCAAGCAAGTGTGAACGTTGCGTCCTCTTTGAAAGGAACTCCTGGGAACTGATTGTATGAGATAGTGGAGTGTGTGCGCGAAGTGTCATTTGACAAAGATGACGGGGAGGGGGCGATAATCGGTCGCGCAGGATGGTATGAATGCATATGGATGGCGAGTATTAACTTAGGGTGTACCGAGAAATGTACCGATAATCCCGAGGGAAGTGGTGGTGGAGCCTGTTTTTTGTTGATAGTGCGCCCAAGGACACACAAACAATTACTCACTGCGTGGAGCTCCCCATATGTGCATCTCATGTTTTATGTCATGCTATAGCGAGCGTCTGTTCATGAGCGTCCTACCCCCTGGCGGCTCCCCTTAGGGGTGCTGAAACCAGCGCCCCGCCTGAGACATCCTCACAATCTGCTCTGAAAGCAAAAGGTGTTGGGCATGAAAACGACCAAACCGCCTGAGACATCCCCACAAACTGGCCGCGAACGGGCCCGTGAGAACACCCCTGGCGGCTCCCCTGAGGGGTGCTGACACCAGCGCCCCGCCTGATGCATCCTCACAATCTGCTCTGAAAGCAAAGGATGTTGGGCATGAGAACGGGCAAACCGCCTGAGACATCCCCACACACTGGCAGCGAACGGGCCCGTGAGAACACCCCTGGCGGCCCCCCTGAAGGGTGCTGAAACCAGAGCCCCGCCTGAGACATCCTCACAATCTGCTTGGAAAACAAAGAATATTGGGCATGACAACTGCCAGACCGCTTGAAACATCCCCACAAACTGGCCGCGAACGGGCCCGTGAGAACATCCCTGGCGGCTCCCCTTCAGTGGTGCTGAAACCACCGCCCCGCCTGAGACACTCACAATCTGCTCCGAAAGCAAAGGATGTTGGGCATGACAACGACCAAACCGCCTGAGACATTCCCACAAACTGGCCGCGAACGGGCCCGTGAAAACACCTCTGGCGGCTCCCCTTAGGGGTGCTGAAACCAGCGCCCCGCCTGAGGCATCCTCACAATCTGCTGTGAAAGCGAAGGATGTTGGGCATGAAAACGAGCAAACCGCCTGAGACATCCCCACAAACTGGCCGCGAACGGACCCGTGAAAACACCCCTGGCGGCTCCCCTCAGGGGTGCTGAAACCAGCGCCCCGCCTGAGACATCCTCACAATCTGCTCTGAAAGCAAAAGGTGTTGGGCATGAAAACGACCAAACCGCCTGAGACATTCCCACAAACTGGCCGCGAACGGGCCCGTGAGAACACCCCTGGCGGCTCCCCTTAGGGGTGCTGAAGCCAGCGCCCCGCCTGAGACATCCTCAAAATCTGCCGTGTGTTGAATAATTCAGACTATGAGAAGGTCTGAGTATGTGTAGGTCTGAGTATCAGTAAGTGTGTATATGAATACGACTGGGTATAAGTAAGTCTGAATATGAGTACGTCTGTGTATGAGTACATCTGTGTATGTGTATGTCTGGGTATGAGTAAGTCTGAGAATGAGTAGGTCTGACTATGAGTAAGTCTGAGCATGAGTAAGTCTGTGTACGATTTCGCCGGCTCAACGGGCCAGAGGCGTGCTAAGATCTCCGGTAACTGGTTAACACTAATTCTAATTCGCGCGCGCGCGGGGCGGCCCCTGGGGGTCCCCCGGCGAAAAGTACCCCGACCGAAGCCCGGGAACTATTACTCAGAGATGGTTTCCCTCCTGGGTGCGGCCTTCCACGCCCTCCGGAGCGTGCCAAGAGGGCCAAAAGAGGCCCCCAAGACGGTCCGAGAGGGCTCCGAATCACTGAACGATCGGCCCAAGACGCCCAACACGGCGTCAAGACGGCACAAGAGGCCTCCAAGACGTCCCAAGAGAGCCCCGACCCTTCCCAAGAGAGCCCCAAGAGGCAAAAATCAATGATTTTCCGCAGGTTTTTGAAGGTTTTTGGCTTCCTCGCCTTTTCGCCTTTCCGACGCTCCAAGACAGCCCGAGAGGCCCCCAAGACCACCCCAAGACGGCCCAAGAGGCCCCCAAGAGAGCCCCAAGACCGCCCAAGAGAGCCCCAAGACAGCCTAAAAGGCGCCCAAGAAGGCCCCAAGAGGGCCCCAAGAGGGGCCCAAGATGGAGACCACGAGCCGAAAATCCGAGCCTTCCGCTCCGAGAGGCCTCCAGGACGCCCCAAGAGGCCCCCCAAGAGGCCCTAAGAGGCGCCAAGAGGCCCGAAAGAGACCCCACAAGACTCCAAAACGGAGCCCCAAGAGGCAAAACTCAGTGATTCCCATCAGGTTTCTGAAGGTTTTTGGCTTCCTCGCCTTTTCGCGTTTCCGACACTCCAAGACGGCCCAAGAGGCCACCAAGAAGCCCCCAAGACCACCCCAAGACGGCTCAAGAGGCCCCCTATGAGAGCCCCAAGACCGCCCAAGAGAGCTTCAAGACAGCCCAGAAGGCGCCCAAGACGGCCCAAGAGGGCCCCAAGAGGAGCCCAAGATGGAGACCACGAACCGAAAATCCGAGCCTTCCGCTCCGAGAGGCCTCCAGGACGCCCCAAGAGGCCCCCCAAGAGGCCCTAAGAGGCGCCAAGAGGCCCGAAAGAGACCCCAAAGGCTCCAAAACGGAGCCCCAAGATACAAACATCAGTGATTACGTTAGGTTTTTCAAGGTTTTTGGCTTCTTCGCCTTTTCGCCTTTCCTACGCTCCAAGATGGCCCAAGAGGCCTCCAAGACCACCCCAAGACGGCCCAAGAGGCCCCCAAGAGAGCCCCAAGACCGCCCAAGAGGGCCCCAAGACAGCCTAAAAAGGCGCCCAAGAGGGACCCAAGAGGGCCCCAAGAGGGGCCCAAGATGGAGACCACGAGCCGAAAATCCGAGCCTTCCGCTCCGAGAGGCCTCCAGGACGCCCCAAGAGGCCCCCCAAGAGGCCCCAAGAGGCGCCAACAGGCCCGAAAGAGACCCCAAAAGACCCCAAAACGGAGCCCCAAGAGGCAAAAACTCAGTGATTCCAATTCGGTTTCTGAAGGTTTTTGGCTTCCTCGCCTTTTCGCGTTTCCGACACTCCAAGACGGCCCAAGAGGCCCCCAAGAAGCCCCCAAGACCACCC